GGGGCGACGAAAGAAAACGATGAAGAAAAAGGACGCTGAGCTAATGCAATGCGCGGAGAAAGACACAGGCCAGGCCGTCAGTCGTTACCTACCCTCGGGCCCGGTGCTCAGAGACCGGAAGAACGTTGCACAATCAATTAGCATACGCATACCGCGTCGCGACTGGTACAACCCTAACTCCAATTCCAATCTCAGGGAAATCGAAGCTAGACACTCGCCGCTCTATCGAAACAGGTCGCAGATTCTTTCCACGGTGAACGATCCAGAACGATCGATTAGATCTTACGATTTCGGATCCTATTACTTTTTCGAAAATTTTTCATGTTGAAGTTTATTATTCGGATTGCTTTTGGTTAGCTGCTAAGAAAGAAAGCTGCGAACGGTATGTGAAACATGATTATGAAATTTTGAACAATAATGGGTCAGTTTTTAATGCCGGAACGGATGTAATCTTTCTTCTTCGGATGTAATTAGTGCGATGCACTATTAGTTATTCATTGTAGGATATAGTTATTAGAAACGTAAATAAGAGAAAATGGTAAATGATATTTGTTTATCGATCGTTTCTGCGAATGTCGACATATGAATGTTTAATCTTCGGTTTCTTGTATTACATGATTTTAAGTATTGTCAATGTAATACTTTACGTCAACATCTTTAAATTCTACACGAGTTTCAGTCTGTACCTAACTCTGTGTCTAATTCCGTTCAATTAGTTGTTTTTCAGTTCAAAATTTCGTAATATCTTTGATATATCATACATGGCAGAGTAAACAATCGTAATGCTACCAATCTGATTAATTTTAACAATCCGCAATCTTTTACGAAAACCCACCGAGTTTCTCTGCTTACTACGTGTTTCGAATTCTCTATACTGACCTTTTCAATAGAATTCTCGCTGAGTCTAACACTTATAACTTACATAGCATATCATATATTATATCATCATATAATATCATATATATAATATCTTCATTGATGATTTCAATACATTTAAATATCAACTCTATAATGTTATATATATATATTTTTTGTATATTCTAATGTATTGTTTTCATTTGTATTTTTATTATTATTTTATTATTATTACTATTTAATATTATGTTGAATTTTTAAAGCAAAATTAAAACGGCATCTGGTCCGTTAATGCTAAATAAATAAATATAAATATATTACTGCTTCATAATCAGTTGTAAATTAATTTGCAGCTATTATTCTGAAAATAATTATAGACCGTGAACAGAAATGGACATCGTTTCCCAAAATGGTCAATAAAATCCGTCACGGTTAATGAGTTTCTATCGTATCCAGCACATTTGCAACGACTCGATTTAATAATCTTGAACCGTGCGCATCTTAGTCGTCATTATCGATGTGTTAATTATTGACTGACTCGGCCTGCGAGTAGCGCGCGAATGATAATTCTAGTTCAGTGGCATCATAGGCGTGATCGAGTCACGAGGAAAGTCACAGGCAGAAATCGAGCGACTCTATCGTGCAAGCCAACGATAATATTGCAGCAGATTGGCGAAAGGGAAAACTGCTGCATTGCAGAAAATTGTATGGGTATTACAATTTTGCTTTCGAGAAAGTTACGGAGCCTGGAAACATCGTCAACAAAAATAGTGCTCATCGTTTACGGGAGTATTATCTCTTAATTAAGAATTGCATTGGGCATCAGTGTCGACGTCGCGTCGTTCCGTCAGAGTTAAGCAAGAATGATTACGGGTGGAGAAAAGTTGGAAAGAAGATAAATCTATTAGGCAAATAATATTCCAGGAACATTGTAGCGAAGATATGTTTCCGTTGCAATGTTTGAATAATTATTTTGCAGTACGAATAATTCACTGTATAACAAACGGAATAGTTGTAATTATAGTCTCTTTGTAAGTAGATGGAACACATCGTTACGCATATTTATTGCAATATTCGTGCATTTGTTTCTGATGCTTCATGGTATACTACGTTTCAAACATTACAGCGGTACGAATTCTGTGGCATTGTTGTATCGTGTGTGGTTCTGAAATGAATCCTCATTGCTTGGAGTTTAAATAACGTTTAGTGACAAATAAAATTTCCCAAAACTCCATTTGTTAAAATATGAATAATGTAAAGTGAATGATAAAAATTATGAAAATAAAACTGTATAAATAGCCATCACGAGAATGTCATGTCTAATTAAACTTCAATTATATTATTAAAAAATATTTTATTCATTTTGTTTTCCATCGAATTAACAATAAGTGAATGAATATAATCAAATTACAAAATTGTGAATTTTCTTGAAATATTTATATATGTATAAATATATACATATATATATTTCTTAACCCTCGTGACTTAATATTCTTACAATTAATGAGAACTAGTAAAAGAAAGTTTGTATATCGACTATAATTCTTCGACTCTCCTTCAGAGTAATTACGACCAAACGCTTACACAAAGTATTCTGAAAATTGATATTTTTCCACGTTTAAGCCATTATGCACCGCAGCGCAGTGTAACGTGAATACGCATGAGTATGCGTGACCGTGCAACCGTTCCAGGAACACGGAAATTATATTTCGCTTTTACGGTTACAACGTCGCATGGCTGTCACGATCGCAGCCTGTTGTCGATGACTTAAATATCGTTGACGTGGATCGCTGCGCGCTGCGAACGCAGAAAATACGAAATTAGCATAGAAAAGAAATTATTATATAAAGTATTATTACGCGACTATGAAATAAAGTTTGAGGGTTTTCTGCGTCAATGAAATGGAACATATGTTGGGTCACTATCATATACGCTATCGGAAACATTTCGATGTTATTGGCATGCGATATTCGATTACTAAGAAGGTAAATAAATTATTTTTCATTTCGATTTGTATGAATTCGCCCATTAAGACTTTATTTGGCTCTACGTTCATTTAACGTATTCATTATAAAATGATTTTATTGACACACGAAGTTGTACATAGTGGTAAATAATATATTACGGATTGATTTATTTACATTTGTCCGTCTATTTATCCGAGACAAATCATAGGTAAAAATTGGAGAACAAACGCATCTTCACAATGATCGATTAATCATGTCTAACGGGTCGGCTTTTTATATTTATACGACATGTATAATACTCGAGTCAACGTTAAAACTTTTGTGCATTAATGAATATGAAACCTATACTTTCCTTAACGTTTCTTCCTTAACTTTTTTACATGCCAAAGTTAAAAGAACAAATAAGGTGTGCCTATTAAAAAGTGAAATCTAAGAAGTTAATATTTTAATGATATAAGAAAATACGAAAAATTAAGAAGTTAAAATGAAGTATATATAATAAAAATTTCGATAAATAGAGCATCTGTTAGTAGCCTTCGTTAGTTAAAATATTCTATAAAATATGAAAAAGAGACATGCAAGTTCTCTGAATGTCATGCGACGTGTTATAATTTTAGGTAAGCATTTCCTTTATATGAAATCACGGTCGTCGCGCGTATGTGACGCTAGCAACGAATGTGATGTAGTGGGCTGATAATTGGGATTACATCGAAATCGGTAAGAAGATCGCAATGTCGATGGAGTCGTAGCGGTTAAGGGAAACCGGGAACGCAAACAATGTAGTTGATCGTCGACGTTCACACCGATTGAGGCGAGTACGCGCTCGCTTGCTCGCTGCCTGCAGAACACGGAAATGATGGGCAGCTACGAGCTGGACGGCGCGGTGGTAGCCCACACTATCTTGCTTAGCCGATTGCATAAGCGACTTTCGAGTTTAGTTGCCGAAGCAACTGCTAGCGGCACGCCGCACGTCCAGCCGTCCTTTGTATTCGATTTTTCTTTTTTCGGCATGCACTGATTAACCCCGTTCACCCCCCCCTCCCCCATAATTACATGTGACCATCTTTTTCCATAGCTTTTATTTCATCTCATCTTGCTGTACACAGTTTTATCTACGCGTTCTGCACACTCCCCGCAAATTTTTAAGAGGTTTTATTCACATTTGCATGGATTTTTCTCTGAACAAGTTTTGTTCAATCTTATGCGATTCAGTTACACGTTTTATTCACATTTGCATGGTTTTATTAACACGCATTGCCTATTTTTACGCAGATTTTTCAAACGTTTCACTTAACACGTCCTGCTCACTTTTAACACGTTTCATTTATGCTTTCACAATATTTTGAACGTACTGCTTAGAATTAAGTTTTCCTTCACGCGTTATCTTTTCTTTCACATGTTCATTAAATAAAATGTTATAAGACATAGTTCTCTATTTCAAATTGCTTTTCATATTGTTTGCTAAATCTTAACAATAATTTTGTAGGTTTTTTTAAATCAATTGCATCTCGATTTCTGTTACACCTGAAAAACTCTGCCAGGTTTAGTTTGGTGTATGAATTAGGTGTGTGTGTGTGTGTGTGTTCTTATATATATATTAATAGACTGTAAATCTTTATTGATGTATGACGTTTATTAATTTTATGTATTGTTAAAATACAATATACAATATTTTTTCTCTATTTTTATTTTAGTACAAGGTAATTGAATTTTTTCCTCGGCATGGTTTTTATAAAACAATGATTGTTCTTCCATCTTTCTTAGTTGCCAATTGGAAAATTGTTTACACTGTCATTGTCATTTTCATTGTACCGCAATTTCTTTATCATTTATGACGATGATTAAATCGGTAATTCAGCCATTCAATTGTACCGGTTTAATTATAATATTTATAGCCGGGCGTGTTTCATAGAGCTATCAGTATTTGAACGATTTTATTGTATCGAGAACCTTTACGGATTTCGACATTCGGTAATCATTAATTTCATGCCTTTCCCATGCCTCTGGGACAACAACGTTCAGGTAATCGAAGACTCCATTTGACGAAGTTCTGACCATCAAAGATGGTTTCCTATTAAAATAAATAACGTTCATAGCTATATTTAATTTATAGAAATTACACTTCGGTAAAACTTTGAATCTACTATTAAGAATTCTATTAGGGTTGAAATAAAATTGAATTCTCGTTCAATTATATTTAATTCTACATTAATTTTTACATAATAAAGCCATAGGAAGTACATCAAATCTATGGTAAATTGATTCCAAACCCTTACCCACACATATTAAATAAATACTGAAAGTAAATTAGCTCCGTGACGAACTATTGTAGAAACAAATGTTGTTCCGCGGTATCAACTAATTCCATCAATAATATCACTGTTTTCCCGGTATCGATTAAGCTACACATGATTTATAATACAAAAGTTAAGAAGTGTGTGACGTAGAGCATATATTATAATTTATAATATACTACATTTATTCTACCGAAATGAAGTGGTACGAAACCAGGAAATCATTAACAATTTTAAACCTGACGGCGTGCTATGTTCAATAATTTTTCTAGCACCTTTAAAGTATACTATAGCTATAGTTAAACTGATGAGTTTTAAATTTCTTTCGCCAATTAGAAGAATCATTCTAGCAAAACTAAACTTAAAATGCTATTAATGTTTTCTAACATAATTGCTTTCTTTTATTTATGGAATTTGCATTTGCTATAAATACTGAAAGTTACGCAGTCTAATAACGACTGATCGAATGGGGAAAGTGCCGGTAGAGCTTCGATGTCGATGATCCCAGGAGGAATCATTGCACTGTTTTAAGACTTCCAGTGTTTCTACAGTTATCTCGCGGACACAATGCCATTTCGATGATATCTTTTAATACGTCGTACGGTGACTTTTACCGGAAATTCCAGTAGATGTATCCGAGAGAGAATGTGCGATGATGCGGCTAAAGTTGACAGTGTTGTCAGTTGTCAGACCGGCGTCACTTCCTGTCAGTTTTTGATAGGCAACAGCACGCGGAACGCAGGCCAAGTGCACGTTGCTCGGTTTTCCAGAACAGCGAAAGTGCGCTCGCCACGGCGGGCAACGGAATGTTGCACGATTTTCGATGATAAAACGATAGAAAGCGACCTAGCGCTCACGTAACTGCAATTATACACTTTTGGTGATCGTTGTCGTTGCTGATAAATGTCAGCCCATTGAACCGGCTATCACTTAAAAAACTTATATGTCGCGAAATGAATAGTTCGAACCCGATTTCAAATGAACGAGTTTGCCGTTCGTTGATTAACGGCACGAATCGAATTGACCCCAAACACTTTCTGTTCATAGGTTGACTGCCATGTCGGTCATATATGGGTTACGTTATTCTCCGATCAGGTTTCCAACCGAATTGGAACCGATTCAAGAAGTAATCACACAACTGATAGGTATAAAATTGCTCAATCCGGCGAGGAGTATTCACTTCCTGCATAATGGTTGAAGTGCATGACATCGGTGCATACGAGACACTTTCTTGCTTTTCTGCTGAATTTTCGAAAAAACGAACTTGTATTCGTAAATGGGACACTGTGGAATTGTTCCACATGAGGTCTAGATAAAGCGTTGATAACTGCTGAATGTAGGCCGAAACACGGATCGGTGCATACACGGTTTTACATGGTCGATTGAGCTTTTGTTTGTTAAATATTTGCAGCAAAAAAAGAGAGATAAGAAATCGAACGCTGCGCAATCAGCAACGTTCACTTGTTGAATACCTTTCATATTGGCCTTTCTGTTCCAAGGTAAGGGTGATAGACGTAACAGTAACGATATGTCACGTTTGTTCACCTGTAAATTATGAATGCAAATACATTTTTGTAGTATGTAACATTCTCGTATTAAAGTAATAGCCAGACCGATACAACACGGCAAAATAGAAAATCAATAAACCGAGGGGAAGCTGAACAATTAAACGCACTAAAACAGAATAGCTGGGATGACCTCGTTAACACCAACCTGGCAAAGATCGTTACAGTAATCCCAACTTCGGTACATTAGCATCGAGAAATTCTTGGCAACAGGTTACAGAAGCACATGGTACTTCATCCAATCCTGTGTTCATTAACTTGTAACAGCATGCAAGAATCTTCCAGCAGACGTTTCAACGTGCTAACTTCTCCAAGAAGATTCGAAACATGTTTTGCCCATTTTGAAAACAATTACATCTCTTATCTATGTTCTTTCGCTGTATGTACTTTACTACTCTCATAGCTGATAAATAAATTATTAGATTCGCAAAACTATCGTGTTGTATTGTGTGTACCTGATAGAAATCTAATTTTTAATATCTCAGTTTTTTTTTAAATCATCTTTTTACGAGGAGCAAATGCTACAGGTTGATAGTGCGTGTATCTTGCAGGCTGCACAAAACGCACAAAACGCAATTCCTGGCGCATAATGGCCCAGATCAAAGAATTTAATAACATTTTGATATAACTTTTGAATTGCATGGAGAGTGATTGAAATTTTTAGAAATATACTTTCATATATTATTATTTTCATGGAGATAAAAATTATGCTACATTCAACATGCTCAACTTTAAGCGTTCACAATAACTAAGATATTTTTTCAATTTTCTGAATTCCTTCATTCTGTAGCACTTTTACTGTTCTATTACGTACTGACAAAATTATTGTACCAAACTTATTATAATCTATTAAGTGAGCTAAATTTGATTAGGATCTACAAGATGTAAGGAGGTTCCAAAATTAATTGCTATAATAAATCATACTGTCTTCATAAATTATGTCTATGGTTCATAGACTTTTCGAAAACACTACAAATCGATGTGACAAAAGTTGACTATCTGGCAAAATGTCACCGAATTCTTTGACCCGGACTACTGTATAGTACATCACGGAGCGGTGCAGTCGGTGCACATCAACCGGCTACGTCAGACGGCAATTACGCTGTCGCAGACTTCCACTATCGTCTCCAGCAGCGTGCAACGGACACGCGTTTCCCACGGATCCCCGCTGCGCTGCCGCGAAAATTTCTCCGGTTTCACATCCTGATGTTACATAAAAATTAGAGCATTGGCGTCGCGCGTCCTCGTCCACCGTCTTATCGAAGTTTCTCTACCAACGGAGGTCGGAGATAATCCTCTTCGCTCCAGAGCTCGCCTACTCGTCCCTTGAGGCCTACAATTCACAACAAAAGTGTAGAAAGGTAGCTCTAGCAAGATTATCTGGCCTTCAGTTCCCTATGTTCATTGCCATGTTATGTTTACTATTTGCTTGTTACAGACGACATTCTCGGTATGAGTACTGTAGAAGTTTTATGCTTAGACTGGTATTGCAGTAACGCGACTGGTAACAGTTTGTAAACAAAATAATGCGTAAGAAGTCAGCGAAATGATGCGTAAGAAGTTAGCAAAATATTGTATTTATTGATGAACTCTAATGGTGTGATCTTACTATGCGATAACGAGGTCCCATTTTTTTATTTTGAACGAGAGGATCGTAGAGCAAAATATCAAGCTTCTCATGTCAAAAAACAGCTTTAAGATGTACAAGACGTATGGAGTGCTTTTGAAGAAATCGACTAAGTCTCTTCTTGAAAAGTATGTACATTAATCATGACACACAAACACACACACAATATTTTGAGGATTGCTTCAGTTAGATATCTCATACTACTAAATCTAGATCTTTTCAAATTAATTTGTACATGCAGCTCAATATATTAAAATAATCAATTTTCGATAGCGTTTACGAAATTCAAAAGTTTAAAGAAAGTAGTACGATGACAAATTTCAATTTTCCGGTTTCTCTTTTCTAGTAGAAGTTATTTTGAATTCGTGGATGTTTTATAGGCGACCATTTACTTCATCTTGTAATATCACACTACCAGAATGAAGTTAACTAACTTCTTTAGCTTCGTCCGAACATTTTCCAACCAATTGTATATTTGACGATATTTCAGCAAATTTTACAGAATTGTTTATAGATTTTAAACGTGTGGAAATTATGTTCGAAAGAAACAGCACACCGTTACAAAGTTAAAGAAGCAGTATTCTGGGATAGCGAGTACTGCGCGATTATAATCAGAAATTCGTATAGTTTGAATTTCCAAGTAAAGGATCTCCAATTCCAACGACTTTCGCAGAGAAATTTAATTCGTTAAATTAATATAGACAGATAATAATAATATAGATTGTTGATTTCGGTACTCAAACGCTTGTTTATGGCCCAGCTGTGTTTACCGTTCCACAGTGTATCTATACCTTCGAGTATGTAAGGCTCCCCAGAGTCGGCATCTTGAAGCGAAGCAACAACACTCGTCCATTGTAACTTTCTTGCGAGCTATTGTATACTAAATCGTGGTAGAAAATCGGGAAACTCTATCGTGGTCTTTTGGCGACAGTTCAACGGTCTGGTATCCCAAGCGTTCGAACAGCCACGATTTACGGGGATCCGACTCCGCTTCCGTCGAGCAACCTTGTCGCCAAGGTCACAACGTTCTGGGAATTCTAAGCTACTCGCTCGTAGCTTTGGCAAAATCGCATGTCGTCTTTTTATTTAACAGCTTTGAAGTATAACAAACATTTTGGCGAATCGTTGATTGCGAAACGTTTCAACGCTAGCTTCATAAATGATAAATATTGATGTTTAATGAATGGCAAACATGAATGTATGAAATTTCATCATCGTTTGCAACAGAAATGTTGTATGTATTATATATAATGTATGTATTTATGACAAAAATGAGTAAGTACAGTGTTGAAACAGTAGAAAGGTTAACAGAACTTGAGAATGTGGACATATTGTTTTTAACTTATTAAAATTACTATAGGAAAAGTTCATTGTAAAAAAGGTAATATATTGTAATATATAACCCTGTGGCATATCCAATATATTTCTTTGAGTTATATTCAAACGAGAGAGAGAGAGAGAGAAGGTAAGCTCACAACTTTTTAATTGAAATTGATCACTTTCTGGAAAATGGTGATCTTTCCCATATTTGCATATATGAAACTACGAGCAACTTAGGAATATGAAATCATGGGAGTTGCAATACATCATGGCAGAACGTGGTGTCTCGTTTTCTTTTTTAACGCTTGAGTGAAAAACGTTTTTGACGGTTTCAAGTCAGCCAAAATCCATTGAAATCTTTTTGGTTCCACCACTTTAAGATTACCATTGGCGATTAAGAAAGCTGATGGCTGAAACTGGCTGCTAACTTAGAACTTGAAACGGAGCGTTTTTAACGGTGGATCAGAATGAACCAAATTCTCGCCATCCAAGGGATAATATCCAAAAGTTTCGTGAAAATTCGATTAAAACGTCGTGTGGAAAATCGCTCAATTTTCCGAAACTCGATCCCTGGAGTCCAGCAAACTGGATGGTTCAGCGCCGCTTATAAGTGGCACTACTCAGAAGCAGCCTCTTCGTTCGGCATATATTTATGGCACTGGGAAGGGGTTAAATAAACGACTGCACACTGTTAAGTACGCAGTAAATATCTGACTGCCAGCCGAGTACTCTTTACGACGAGTTCGTACGAAACAAATACTCTTTGGAATCCGTCTGCAACTCTCTCACGCGGCTTACAGAATCATCGAGGAGGTGTGTCGTACATTAGCCTCTCTCGGTGTCTGTCATTAATTAATCCCATGACTGCTGTAATGACCGTCACCCTGGTCCGCACAAACGATTCCGCACTTTGGAAACCGATCAAGTGACGCCGTTGGATATGGTGGATACCGGTGTGTTTTATCGGCCGAAAAACGCCGCGAATCGGCCGAAACGAAGGCGCACAATGCGGTCCCGGCTATGGAGAGCCGGCCTTAAGCTCCGCTCGCAGGATAGAGAAAGGGACACGCTCCGATTGGTACGATCGATGCATGAGAACGGCGTGGAGCGGTGCAACGGCGACGTGTGCTGCTTGCCGTGGAAGTGAACGATCGAGCCCGCCTCGGTATCAAAGTTCATCACGGAATCACGGGAGCATGGACAACTCGAACCGCGCCGTTACTATTTCTCGCGGGCTCACCCTCGAGGCAGGACCGTCGACCGATTTCATAACGGTGCACCGCCGCGAAAAACGCCGAACGGCGTTAATTGCCTCCCCGCGTGTGGCAACGCGATGCGCGCCGACATGAAAGTTTGTTCGCTAGGAAAACTGTTTTGCATCGACGAAATCGGACGAACTGGGTCGTGACCAGGGTCTGTAAGAGAACCGATTTTCAAATTCCAGGATTTCAATAATGATGATAGAATCGGTTTTCTATGAAGATTATGTGAATGGGAATCCAGTCATATGCTACATATTCTCCGAAAACGGTTTTTTCATGGAGCGAGTGACAACGTGATGTGTGATTTACTTTTGTAGAGCTTTTAATACTTGACAATTGCACTAAACGTCACTAATTGCGGAGGAAAATAGAATACAAATAAAGAGTGTTGTGAAGTTTTCGTTGGTCCATATGATTATCAGTTTACGACAATATGGCAGCTTTATTGATTAGTAAAGGAAAATATTGCCTTTATGCCTTCTGAGAAATTGATACATGCCAATATCAGAAATTATTTCTGTTTCAAAAATATTTCGTTTCTCAAAGTGAAAAATGGGCATGTTTTATTAGACAATATTTTCATTGCTGCATTGACCAATGAACTATACATACATTGTTACATTAAGCACACATTCATATAATTTAGATGAACTTTTAATTTGCAAATTCATACATCAGTATTCGAAATTTACAAATTCATTCAAATAACAAATAATTTTTTGTAATTAGGATTGCAATAAATAAACAATGCAATAAAAGAATTGATTAAAATATTTGTAGTAAGGTCAAGGTTTGAGGTCCAATCTTAATCACCTATAAATTATTTATTAAATTTTGTAACTATTTGATTTGAAAAAGCTGTAAAAACTAATTCAAATTATTTCTTTCATGTTTAATGACTTCCTTAACTAAAATCGCTTAACATTAGTAGTGCGTTCATCATCAGTTTTGCACATTTCTTATTTAATTTAAGGCAATAAATACCATTGAGAGGAAATTAAAAAGATGTTTATTTAAGATGTTCTAACATCTTAAAAATAATGATTCATTGCGCGAAATCAATTCTGAACATTTAAAAAATATATCAGCAAGGAAAATTCATTGCACAAATTTTAGCGGTGTATAAATGAAAAAGTAAATCCATATCCGTAGGACACTGTTTCCTTCAACCTTTGCCGAGTTTTATTTTAACCTGCGCTCCAGATCTTACCGGATAGATATACGTTTAGTATTTTAAGATATTGATCCCCAAACTATATACAAGTCTAACGGAAATATATTATTGTATAATATGCACACTGACATTAAGCCTGGACTCAATATTAATTAACTTAATGCTCAGAATAATCAGCTCCATTTAATAAGATTTCATTAATAATTCGGGCACCCTATGAAACTATTATACTTTCCAAGCTCTTATAGGAGAGGACCAGACACGAATCGAGAAAGCTACGTTATCAGAACCGGACTCTTTGATACAGCGATCAGGTAGCGACAGCGAGCTATCCGATAGTCAATGGAGAGCGTATAATAGTTCCGAAAGGTCAAAACGGTCACGTACCCATGCAACTATATCCCCGAAGAATTCCAATAAACGTTCAATTAATAAATTTTGACGCACAATTATGACAGATATTGATTCCATGTACAAAGGAAGCATTGTGCAATTATAAAGAAATAATTATTAACGTAAACTAATCGAATCGTCCACCCCTTCCATTTCTCCGCGACACCGCGAAGAGTTTTGTTTCCTCGATCGACCCTACAATGCGTCCGACGTTCCCGTTGCGCAACGTTATTCTCGCCAATGACGATTAATCGACATGGCATCCGATAAATGAATAATGAGTACGGTTAATTGCAGTTCGCGCAGCACGAATCGATCCCGCTACTGAGGGTGAGCGAGAACGATAAGAACCGAACAGCGGCGGCCGTATCGCTTTATATATTCGAAACCGGTCAGGGCTGCCGAGAAAAGACACGCGCGGGCGACTTTCGCGATAGACAGGTATTTTTTCGCGAACGCCAAATAATATGTATAATGGCTTTCACTTCGCGCGAGCCGGAAATCTAGCCGGCCGTGATACGGCCGCAGAATCGCGCCCGAAATGACGACTAATTAGTTTTGACTTAATTACTCGGCTCTCGCGATTCCCGCCGACGCGACTCTGGATTGAGACATCATCGTTCTCCGCGTTTTTCCCAGGGTCGTCTCGTTTCCCCTTTATTTTTATTTCCCTCCTTCGTCGCGCGATCGCGCGCGCGTACGCGAGTGCACGCGCCTCTCAGCATTGAATCGCGCCTCGCGATCCAAGATACCGCGGGGCAAAAACCGTCCATCGAAACCGTTATGCTCGTCTGTTTATCAGACGATTTTTCCTTGATGAACAACCGCTCTGATCGCCGGTTGCGCAATTATGTAGATTGCAGCAACTCGCGATCCGTAGAATAATGTTATCTCTATAAATATATCTCAGGGCGGTGTGCCATGGAACGCAAGAGACGCGACGCAATCGACGTCGGTCTCGTAAAAGTGAAAATAGCCTGCTCGTCCGAACAATTCCGTAAGAAAAAAAGCATGCGCATCGTTACATCGGTTTATCATTCTCGGCTTCGTACCGCGATCCAATAAACCCTCAAACGTTCGACGCTTGTTCTCAAAGGGCTAATCGACTGTATCAATAAGTTTGATCTCTTTGCACTATTCATGTAAGACTACATAGAAATTAACGTTCGAGTGCTTAAAGGAAACTCTATTTTGACGCAAACTAGATCGAGAAGCCTCGGTGAGCATCGCTTAAGGAAAACAATACGCTGTAACTGTAACTAAAAATCGTCAGCTACGATTTAAGCGAGATCCTTCGGCGGTGGCTCGATTATTTCCAAGTTCCTGTATAATGCAGCGTGCCAGCTGGAATTAGTAGGTTGAGGTAATAAGTAACGAGCGACGGCGGCGGCGGCGACGGCAGGCAATCTATTTAGAAAAGAATTCAGGTTTCTTAAGGCCATTCAACGACCCGTAATTCTATCTCTTTAGAACGTTTCGCGTTTGCTACTAACGCGAAACTCCTTTTCGATGCGAAGACCTCGTTTTCCACGTAACGACCGCGGCCCATAATTTGGACCGCGCGTGTCGCCATTCTTGGATCTGCGTTTCTTCCCTTCTTCCTTTCTTTCTTCCTCTCGCCATTCGCAGACAATAAAATTTTTCACATAATGCCGGTTGTGAAGGAAAACCCTTGGGATCTACCGGGGACATAGTCGTCCTCGTAAACTCCAAATTTCCATGTGCACGTGTTGCGCCAGCACTTCCAACCGGCGAACGTGGAAAATACGCGCGAACTTTGAAAAGGAACCTATTATAAGGTTACAAATGATCAAAATGTCATATCAGATTGAATTTTATGAAAATTCTTCGATGTCTCGCATCGAGACACCGCAATTTCTCTAAAGTAACGTATCCTTGCGTACATGTTGCATCATATCTCGTGTTATGTGTTGCACATGTTCGTACCGCACAATCGCTTCTTCACGATCGATTCGCAGCTCATAATGGAAATTGGCAATAATTTTCTAGCGATGTCAAGGAACCGCAGCGCAGAGAACGATGTTGCGTCTACTGCGAACACAAAGGTCGCGCGGCGGAAACTGCGGTCCGCAGCCCGTAGCATCGAGATCGCTTAATTAAACATTCACCGTGTGCAACTTCGGAATAACAGTCGTTTTTCAAGGAAGACCGGAAGCAAAGGTAGCCGCGTTATGGGACAGGGGCAGGGACAGAGGCATTGTTACGGTCCTGCGACCGGGAAGAGCTTAGCGCGATGTTAGCACGAAGTTTCGTGCGGCTTGTTCCCGTGCAGGACGAGAGAGTTGGGTATCGTAGGTGACCAGGTAACCCGGGTGGTGCCTGGTTGCACTTGGTGTGGCCTGGCGTATGGATGCCGAGTGTGTAGGGCAAGATGGTGGGGCGGGTGGAGTAGGAGGCTGTTCTCTCGGCCGTTAGACGTTGGACGAAGCCGTGGAATACCCGCGAACAACCTACAACGGCAACCTCTATCGGCGACGTAAAAGGGGGGACCCCCCTTTAGCCCCAAAGACAGCTGGTGGGACTACGTTCGTCTATGCTAGCCGCTGGTACGGCGTGGATTATAGTTTTTCTGGGGGGAGGGTGGTGGAGCGCCTTGCTTTCGAAAGGATGGTGATTGTGGAGCGTAGCCAGAGTAGAGTTAGGCGTATATAAGGCCCGCCGGCCCGGCCCAAGTCAGTCATTCACCGGACTACCAGCCCACCATACACACACCAAACATGAAGGCCTTTGTGAGTATCCACCACGGGGTTGGTGATTCGTGGGGTGTTCGATCGGTATCCGAATATTCTCGGGTTTGCCGCAGCCATCCGGTTCAGTTGAGTCTCTTGCGATATTCGAGTAACGCTTCCGCTGTTCGGTCCGCGATACAGTGATCCAGAAAACATTTTTCGTCTCGGGGTCGGTTATGAATCCATTCAAATTAATATTTCCATCGTGATGCCGCGTTCGGGCAGCAGCAGCAACAGCAACTATCTTTGAATTTTCCACTGGGGACGCGAACCGTTCCGCCGCGTAATCCGATCAGCCGTCTCAGGACACACGAGCGTCGCTCCTCTCTCCTCGGGCGCACGGTTCGATCACGAGCGCGGAACACGGCGGTAGTACAGCCTCGAATCAATCAGGAAATAAATCGATTCAATTGTAATCTCTTATTACCTCGGCCGGGGAGGTACAGAGATGGAAAGCGCTCCTCCGATCGTCGGTGTTCTTTGCTCTCGTTCTTCTTTCACGGGATAGGCCGTGTCTCGTCGGCGAGGTGGCGTTTCAATGTCACGGCTCGAGTGTTCTCGTCCTTTTTGCGCCGGGGAACGAACAAACGGGGCCCGAGTTTGCCCTTCTTGCGCGTTCCATTCATGCTGCACGAGGTCTCGTTGCACGGTACACTGACCGCCTCACAAAACCGGTTGCAGTAGTATCATCGTCATTCAGTAACAAGACCAACCGGGGACCGGTTCTCTGTCCTCGGCGCATCTTCATTCACGGGAACACCGTTCGTCACTCGAACTCGGCTGCTCTTCCTCTCGTCCGGTCGGTTTTCCTCTCGATAGCGCCGCGACTCGATTTTTTTCCTTTGCCTGAAAGCCGTACAGTTGAATTAGCTCGAATCGATTTACTTTCGCGGCTGATCGTTTCGCGAGAAGTGGCGGACCCGATCGCTTTAGAAATCAGCGTCGCGTTGACTCGAAGTTTCTTGTCGGTAACGCGGTCTCGGTTTTTCCTCGCGAACCATGCAAAGTGCGCACGAAATCACTCGTTTCGAAATGCTCGTTTCCCGATCGTCGGGTCGCGAGAATGCTCGGCTGGCCGCGTCACACGAGCACCGCGTTCCGCGCAAACGGGATGTGAAAGTTCCACCGAGTCGCTGGATATGCATAGTACTCGATCGAACCGTTTAAGTGCAACTTGAGGCCCGAGCTGGGCGTGACACGCGTCCAACGTTCTATCCGTCGTCGATTACACGGTTTGCATTTCCCGTGATAGGTTGTGATCGAGTTTCCTCGGATCGCAGCAGTTTCCTCGCGATCGGTCAACGTTCGTTTCTTCCGAATGAAAACAGCGAACGACATCGTTCTCAAAAAAGATCGTGGTTTTAAAACGAATCGGTCGAGTTTGCTCGGATCTGGTAACGATCATCCAGTTGTTTTCGGATGGATATCACCAGACACCCCGATTAATTACGAACTCGACCGGGTCAACGATTACGTTAATTCCTGGTTGTAAGTGCGCGAACGATTGCATAAAACGAGAGCGGGCCTCTTTTCCAGGCAACAAGACAACCTATTAGAGGGTAACCTGAAAGAATTTCTTCTCCTAATATGGTCGTTAGGCGTGGTGAACAGGAGGATTGATCGTGGACTACGATGGGGGGAGAGGGAACGGACGGTGGGATAGTTAAAGCTCGCGAAAGTGTAATCGGTCCGTGATCGTTCCAATTGCGAAATATTGCAACGGTTTGTCTCGAGTTTTCCCGTGCGACAAGGTAGAAGAGTCGCGGCTCGTTCGGCGTAATTACGAAACCGCGCGGTCCTGCTACGCGGACAGCTCGGAGCCCGCGTTGTCTAGAAAACATCGGTCTGTATCGGGATCGTTTTCCCAGGTGTTGAGAATCGTTTCCCGATGCCGTGTAAAACGGCGATCCGCGGGCGACAGGCGAGCAGGTATCGAAAGTGAAAGGCGCGGTTGTATTACCACCGGGCGCCTGGTAATCGGTGCCAAGCCAATGGGAGACCGAATCTGCGGTGATAGTCAGCGCGTCGCTTCCGTAAACCGACGCGGATAGTTCGTCTTTGTTCACTGTTGGCTTTTGCCTTCCTCGAGTTTTCACAGTTCGAGTTGTATCGATATTTGCGGGTAGCCTGGATGGAGTACACTCGACGCGAAAGCGATCGCGTTGCCCCTTGACGATCGTTAGGATCGTGAACCTGTTCTTTTTCGCAGGTTGTGTTCGCCTGTCTGGCCGTGGCGACGGTCCGCGCTGGAATTGCACATGGACCTGGCATTGCTCTTGGAGGTCTTGGAGGTCTTGGAGGTCATGGCGGTATCGGCGGTATCAGCGGCATTGGCTACGGTGGCGGTGCTAGTCTTACCGGAGGTCTTACGGCGGGAGCAAGTAGCGCGTCGTCCCTCCAAGGTGGTGCGTCCTCCTTGGGATCCGGTGGTCTCGGTGCCAGCTACGCCGCTGGTGCTGCGTCAGCGGCTGGAGCTGCTGGTGTTCAACAGATTGTCTCTGGTGGTGCGTAAGAGAGGAGGATTATAGCTCGATCGGAGGAACGAAGACTGCGAAAATAATGGAGCGCTCATTCACCCGAACCGGTCTCTTCTGATACAGGAGTGATTGGAGGCAGGGCTGACATTGGACCCGCTGAAGGACCCAAGGCTAACGTTGGACCCCAGACCGGACCCTCTGACCTCGTTGGACCCCAGGAAGGCGCCAAGAACGTAGGTGGACCCCGTACTGGACCCGCTGGACTCGTAGGACCCGCCACTGGACCATTCACCAGTGTAGGTGCCTCTGCTGGAACCTCCACCCTTGTTGGACCATCCCAAGGACGCGCTAACCTGGTAGGACCCTCCTCCGGCGGTGTTGCCCTCCTCGCTGGCAGTGGAAACATCAACGGTGACGACGGAAGCTCCGGCTCCGCTGCCGCTGCTGCACCCGCTGGTCTTGGAGCTGCTGGTCTCGGTCTCGCTGGTGCTGGTCTGTATTCGAAACGCGCCACTTGGTAACGATAACAAAAAGAGTTGCTCGATGATTCGATTTCCTCGTTACAGGTGCCATCGCTGTTGTGGGTGGTGGTGCCGGTATTGGTGGTGGACTGGGCGGACTCGGCGGCGGTCTCGGCGGACACGACGGTGGTGTTGCTGTGATCAACGGACCGTCTGGCGCTATCCATGCCGGTCTCGGCTCCCACGGAGCTATCATCGGGGGATACGGCAAGTACTAGACGTTCTAAGGCCCCAGCGATCTCGGCTCGGCGACGGCGGCATTCCCACCACAGTCACTTACCGGTCTCAAACGATCCTCAAACGCGCTCAACGTCTTCTTCCCCAAAGCTTCGTCCAACCTGGGGACATGGTCAAAGCGCCGGCGTTAGTGGTGTAGTCGGTATATAGTCGGAATATTAATCGCAGTCCAGTCGGTATATATCGAAACACGGTGAAGCGCGAGAAGTCCGAAAGCCCGATCAGAGTCGGCTCTCCTGCCTTCGATCTCGGGTCTAGATCTCTTGGAAATGTGTAACACCGTGGTACGGCCATTCGTGATCCGCGGCCTCGTCTCGACCACACTCGGTTGTCCGCGGAACCCAGGCTCGTCCCTGAACGGAACGGGCGAACATTTAGTCAATTTCGTTTCATCAACTGCACGCGACAGGAGGACGTCGATCGGAGCCGCGATTGCCAGCCGCGATTACAGTTTCACCGCGATCCAACATCCGCGTCTCGTGATCCACGGCCGGTCTCGGCACGGGGCGTTCCTGAACGCTTTTGTCGACCGATCGAAGCTTTCGATTACCCGAACGATCTATTATTTGCCGCGCCAACTCGAGTCAACGCGAGCACGTTGGACCCGGCTGCTCCCGCCATGGACCCGGCACGTGGGCAAGCTTTGGCGCTTCGTCGTTGGACCAACTGGGCCTTGTTCTGTTTTCTGAACACCCACCGTTGCTCCGGCAGTACACTCTCTATTTTTTTTTTCTCTTGCGTCTTCCACCATCCGTAAGGCCGCCGCTCTTCACACATATTTGCTACTCTCTCTTTTTGTCTTTCTCCTTTTTCTGATGAACCCGCGGCAACGATCCTAGCCGGTCGCGACCCACGGGCTCACAAGTTGTTATACTCACTGCCGCACTCAAGCATACATATTATTATTACATTACTCGTCCATGCGCATATATGTTTTCTCTTTATATATATATACATGTATACATACTATTACTACTATTCCTTCGCGTATATATATATATGAACACATTGCCACCCGCGCGCACACACACTATTACTATATGTGTACTCGTATATATACACACAATTACACATATATTATATAATCGTGTTATATGTTAGTGAAAGAGAGAGACCGGTAGATTATGGTAGGTCAGCCCTTTCCGTGAGTGAATGAATGTAAATAGATGGCGCGCCGCTGCCGGCCCCCGACCCCGCCCGCCCTCGTCATACCCTTTCTTTGCGATCACGACTAGCACCCCACCACCACCATAGATAGATACCACATATTTATAGCGTTTATACATTTATACAATACTTTATATAAAATAAAGCATCAGTATTTAAAACTCATTTCTCCGATCATTTCACTGCCTTACTCGCGAGATCGAGTACTATACTTCCATCACCGTTCGAACGTTCCTCGTTGATCAGCGCTCGCAAGATTCGAATCAGCGCGATCTCCACTTCTATCGTACTCTGTGCATTTAGCTGCAAAAACTTCGTTCGATGCCTTCTCAATTGAGAACCAATATTCGCGAAATCATGAAACGTTTCTCGATTCGAACATGTTTCCTACCGTTTTCAGATTTCCAACCACTAACTTCTAACATTTCACAGCATTTCGCCACTGCATTTCACAGCAACTCGACAAACAAACAGACGACATTACATCAGAAAACATGTAGCAACACACGATTACATTCGGCAAGCATCACATTGGACATTGTATTCTTTTCGCTTTTCAATTAAAGAAAAGTGCTGCGGATACCACTGAAATGATTAAATGTCATTTCTTCCTTGGGCTGGGAGGTTCTCCTTCGTGCGGCTTGATCACAGGACCTTGCCTCATCGGATTATCATCTAAAAAAGCATTCATTACATCGAACCGTCGTCTTTTCTTCGAGAGGGGACTCGACAGTTGCCTGAAACACGGGACAAAGTCAACGAAAGTAATGGCGAATATATCGAGGATTGAAAGATACCTTATGTATGTATGAATCTTTTGTTAATAAACGATAAACTTATTTAAAAAAAAAAAAAACAGATCGAATTCATTTTTAAACCCAATCAAAAGTATTCGCAGCTTTCCCTGTCACGCCCACGATCTCGACCATTAAAACGGTTCTCGCTGATTTCCCATCGGTTCGTGATCTTTACTGTCTTGCACACGATTGTTCGAAACGATCGTTCATCTCCAACTCGAGAACTTGTTGTTTCGTTGGAATAGCCTGAAACGGAGAATTTGAAACTGCAACTCTCGATCCAAGCGATGAAATCATTTGCAAAGATTAGCAAACTTCAAAGAATGTCTAGTCAATCCCTGCCGTCGCTTTCGAAAGTTTGCTTGTCCTCGTGAATTATCGAACAGCTTCTGCGACCTAACGCCGCCGAGACGATTATGCGAAATCCTTTACGGACGCGAACCAGCGATCCATTCGAACAGATGGAACAAAGGCGTCCAGGGGAATGGGAGCTGGAACTTGGATACATTAATCACTGTCGAAGAACTGCTACGAAACAAACTAGAATTATTAATAATTTATAACAGCTTCGATCGATCCTCTATATTTCCGAATCTCTGAGGCGTTAACATTTTGATCAAGAAACTGTAACGTTGACACAGGGAACTCTAACATTTCGCTTAAACAAAACTGCTGTTTACATAAGCGAATGGCAATTACGTGTCTGTATTCCTGTTTCCAATTCATTAAACTCGACCGTGCAATTTTTGCAATCAGAGGCGCCTCAACTTCCATCGAAAGTAAATACCTCTGGTGAACGAAGCGACAATTTTCTCGTGAACGCGTGCGATCGGAAAGGTTCCTCGTCTGCGATCGCGGACGGAAATTTTCCTCTTTCGGAGACTATTTGTATTTGTTCGCTCGTTTAAGGTAATAGCTTTTAACGAAGCGTTAGGCTGCGGATCGACCGCCTGTTGCTGAGGTTCGTTGCACGCGCCCGGTTTGCTAATGACAGATTTGTCAAGAGTCGTCAGCTCGTTAGAAAGTTCGACGTCCGAATCGAAATTGCTCGTCTGCGCGCTAATGACGTCGCCCGTCGCGTGTCTCCTACCGTAAGTGAAATCTTCACCTTCTTCAATTCTAAAGTTGCATTTGCATAATGCCAGGGCTCCAAACTCTTCCTAGAGTTACACATACGCGGCCGACAATTTCACTAAGCTGTATCATGCCATTATATGATTTCTCCAAAGTAAAACGATATTAATCTACGTTTCAGTTTCCTGTGTGGAACTCAAGGACCTGGGCCCTCGATTTTTTTCCAGGTTACTCGCGCTCCTTCAGTGCGCTGCGAGTTAAACAAGTGATCGGATCGATCGCTTCATCATCGTTGCAGAGGTAACGCTAAACCACGACGATTGTTTGTCCGTTTTTGCGACACTTTTCTCAAACGTTAATTGGTTCGTTGATAATTACAGTGGAAACTACTGGTTATGTAAGTTGCAAAGGAATCGATGGTGCGAAATTGTTTACAGAAAGGATAACGTTCCACTTTGTGGAACAATACCCAGGCCGCTGCACGCTCCTTTTAATTGAGCATGCTTTCCGAGCATCGCGAAATGGACTTGAAACTCGCCGAACAAGCTTTAGAGGTTCGTCTATACACTTTGATCTTGAAACAAATGAAAATGCTGATCCACCCTTTGATCGCGGCGTACATTTCGGTCTGCATTGGATTCAAATATTTCCAAAGAGATTTCCGGTGTCACGGAACATTCTACTGCAGCATCCAACTTCCGCCATTTTACTAAAAATGCATTGTTCAAATATTTAATCCACTAAATAGTTAATCTTAAAAATATGTATCTACAATGAAGGAAGCGTTTTTCGTTCATTAGGTTTGATTAGCATCAGTGATTTCAAAATAATCCAAAAGAGGAATACCGTTGTATCTGCCCAATATTTTTAACATCATTCTGTTTTACTGAGCATATTAAATTAAGTGAAAAGTGCAAAACATCAATTGCTATCCAAAAAAGGAACTATACATCAGTATTGCATTATGTAAAATTGTTATGGCAAAATTTATTCAAATCTTCAATCAATTTGTCTTTCATCAATTTTTGTTACATGTTTTAGGATCTACTTCTTTGAGATCAAATTCGAACTTCTTATTAGACCTAAATTCTAATTTGAATGGAACACTTGCAAGAAAATGGAACCAGATCTCGACAAAGGCTAAAATAAGACACTTAAAGTGGCTGATTTCGATAACAAGGAATTCCAGACCGACAGCAATTCTGTTGATACAGGACAATAAAAACGATGAAATACAGTACGAGAAATAACATATATCCAAAGATATCTGACAACATTTTAGCAGACAGTAGAGGATTCGTAGAGAAGTCCATTCAAGACATGGAAGCACGAATTCATAATGTCGATCCAACGGGCATTAAAGCGGATCGTCCACTGCTGACCCATCATATTCGACTTAGAAAAGGGGGTTGAAACTTCCTTGCCTCGGTTGGCCACAAATACTACCGGGTCTCCGCTGAAAGTGCTTTAAATCTCTTCCATGGTCCGAATTCGAGAGGTGAACTCAACGGACGAGGCTTTCCGGGTTCTGCAGTTGACCGCGGAAAAATAAAAGCCATTGAATGCGTGCTAACCGGTGGTGCTCGATGGAATCACTTCGTGAATGGGACCCCTTGATGATACAACGAAGATGGCTAGTCAATGGCTAAGCGGTATAACGCAGAATTTTCCGCCAGTTTCATTGTTTCTTTACGGAAGTGTTCGTTTATCGATTCTCTATATCTGTCCAACACACTGACCCGAAGATAGCTCGCCGGTAAAAATGAAATTTCACCTTTTCATGCAATCTTGTTTCTGTTCGAGAGATTCCGCTAACAAGTGATTATTGAAAGAAGAATCGGGTCGAGCATATTTCTGTTCCTACGAGTTCGATTACGGAAAAATTGCTTTTAACGCAATCCCACGAATATTAACGGCTGCTTCTGTTGTCCCTATCACCGACTTCCGGACCCTGCAATCGATTCATCCCTTAAAGCAATCATTTAGGCAAATTTTAGCAGGTTCTCTTTAACGCGATACGTTTTCGTGCAGTTTAGACGAATTAGATCGCTCGAAATTTGTCGTTGCCAACAACCATTCCGATCAAAGTCTGTGACAAATTCTAATTATTTTTCTAAATGTAGTATATCTCTTACCGATATTCTTCGATAATTATATTATGAAATGTGTTGCCTAATCGCCTATGTAAGTTACGTAAAACAAATATTTTATGCATGCACAACTATTCTCATTGTCAGTCATTCAGTTGGCTGACATGTCTGATCATGTTCGATCGGTTCTACTTCTTGTAAATACTATAGACTTCCGATTATCCGGCCAAATTTTTGTTGACGTGAAAACTATTGATCACAGGGAAAATTATTGACATATTCCGTGGTTATTCATTTTCTTACATAATTTTGGTCAAACGTATTGATCATCGTTTAAATAATGTTCCTTTTACTAATTTTTTGTCCATTCGTACTAGATTTGTAGGTACAGGATTTGTACAGGAAAGAGTACAGAAAACAAGTTTGTCTTACTATGTTTTCATTCTCGCTATGTTGCGTTGCCTTTGAAACAGAACGTATGAGTCACAGGTCGCATTTTCTTCTTTCTAGGTTGTAGAACCAGGATGGACAGAAGATGAAGAATCAAATAATTTAGAAACTTCAGATAGAGTTATAGGGATGAGATGTGTGTGTTGAACAGCAAGAATATTCATCAGCAATTGACATATTATTTTTGAGAAAGTTGCGTAACATCGCATTAATGAACTAAACGACATAAAAAGAACAGAAAAAGATCACTAATCTTTTTGCGAGAACTGACATTCAGTAAATATTACATACATATTATATAGCATTGTATTATATTTAGATGGTGTGTGTGTGCGTGCGTGCGTGTGTGCGTACATGCGTGCGTGCGCCGTATGTAAATACGTATGTGTAAATAATAAACATTTTAAATATATACAATATCAACATTTTTGCTATAAATATAACCTATAAAACATGCTGTCGGATTAAGCATCTATTCATTTTTACCCGAGATCTAATCCCTCAGGGGCCGAATAATTGGGAGTCTACCTAATGCATGCGAATATGAGGAATCTTCACAATCGAGTTTCTAGAAACTGAAGCATTATTCAGAATTGCTGAATATTCAAAGTTGATTTTCGCGACAACGAGGCTTTAATGAAAAAAATATTTTTTACTTTCGATTTGTTTTCTCATCCAGAATCACCCCCTTCTCGGTTGTGCCACCGATGCTGGGTCACTTTGAATAAATTAAATTTTTATATAATGAAATGTAGAATTTGATCCCTTATTTTATTTATTTTATCATCATAACGTATTTTATTATCAAAATCGCTAAGTTTCTCTATCGTGAATCATTTTTGAATAGACTTTCGTAAATATACGTTTATTATAACACTTCAATATTTATAATTTTTATATTATTTCAATACTTAATATTTTCAAGATAATATCTTCCACCAAATATTCATTAAATACAATTTCATAAAATTCTTTAGAAACTATTAATCTAGAAAAATTCATATGCTTGTTATTAAAATTATTTTCAAATTTCAAAAAACTTCTGTTAAGTAGTGTGTTACTGAACGAGGTATTTCAGACAGTGGAACTTGTGTCGATCGAGTTACCGCATAATAACCGTTTCTCTATAATCTAGATACAACGGGGAAAGCGAGAAGAGGAGTGGAATAGATGCGCAATTTCATCGGAATAATTCAGAAATTACAGGTAACGGTTTCGTAATTTTCCGCCAACGGGAATCAGACAAGTGGCCTGGCATATCGGCGATCAGGCGTGGTCCTTTCATTCTCGAGGGTGTGCGATTCCTACACGAGTTCCCAGAAGAATCTCCTTACGAGGCATACGAGCCTGGGTTTTGCGGCCAAGGTCATTTCGTCACTGAATCTCCGATGAGACTGACTGCCTCATCGAACGGAACTTCGCGGCTATGAATAAGACCGCGGTTTCCACCTTGATTTCCGTCGAACGATCTCGTGTCTTCGACATTGCACTTCTTTTCGAATACTCGATATCCTATTTTCTTTGTTTTAACCTTGTCGAGGACGAAAATGATGCAATCAATTTCGAAGGCGCTCAGAGGTTTTGCTATTCATATTTTAATTACTCTTCCACTAGAAGTCGACAACACTAAGCTAGAAATAGCTACATGTCGATTTTGGAAGCAGTGTAAGGATTGCGAAAATTGGAACATACAGTCAAGAACAAAACTGTGTCAACACGTTTAAAACGGTATAACATTCTTAAAACTGATCTAAACGACTTGAGTTTTCCTGTAAATGTTAGAGAGACTAGGTCACTGTACAATGACTAAAATACTTTTTTCTAACTTCGCTATTGCTTGGAATAAAAGAAGTATAAAAATTCTCTCGCTTCTTCACTTTTTCATTCGAGCCTATATTGAAAATTTAAAAAGTGGATTCGATACTCTCTCGTAACTTATACGCGTGTTGGAAATTTCATCGAAATCGGTGAATCGAAATCAGTGATTGTAGCTTAACTATGCGTAAACCGATTTCAATAAAATTTTCAACATGTATATAAGCTACCGAGAGGTACCAAATGCATTTTTCAAATTATTTCATCAACTGTGAGGAACGTGTATAAAATACAAATTTCTTTTTCTGTCTACTAACTTTGGAACTTGTCCAATTTTGACCACTGTAAACTCGCACACGCATTTCTGTTAGTAATGCATAGGGAAACAGTACGAATAACATCTACGCATATGTCCAAAACCGCGAATTTTCATCGAGTGTTCTGCGCGATCCTCCTCGGCCGTCGAGGAAACCGTGATGTTGGGAACGAATCGTTTAACAGCGTTCTCAGAATTTCCATAACGTTCTGGTGAACACGACCTCTCCTTGCAGGTCGGCCGTCGACGCTGGTCCCCGTGTCATTTTGAAAGAGAGAAGGTCCGTACGCGTGTTCATACATAATTCAGTGTTTCATTCTGCCACCGATTACGTTTCTCGTGTATGTTCAAACAAACTGCGGACGTAACGCTAACGAGCCGACCGACCGCGCCGTAAAGAATCGGGGTCTTGACACACAGAAAACAGCGTGCTCCGGGAATGAGCATTTCGCTGTTGTTATCTGCGAAAAGTATTAATGGAATGGGTAACGTGATTGTCAACTTGCCACGGTTTTGCGCAAAAAATTTTATTTTTATTCTACATCGTTGCTTTAGAATCTCGTTTTCGAAGTTCGTTTAATCCAACCCCTGTTTCAATTAGATTATTAAAATTTGCAAGTGTAGTAATTTTTGATTCTTCGAAAGTTAGATAGAAAACTAGAAAAATAAAGTGACTAGAAATTCAAAAAATCACCTTCAAAATTTTCTAGAGCACGCGTTAGGAAACCACGTTCTGTACTTTCGTTTGTTATTTTCTGTCTTTTGGTCTTCCTCACGTTCCAAGTTTCTTCCGTTTTAAAACAGGACATTTTAAGCATTATAGTTATTATATGTTACATTTGTTTTTAATGTTCCAATGATTATTGCGATAGGTTATAATTTAGATTCTGATTTATGCAGTTAAAGATTTGGTTAACGATTCATTTCAATCGGAATAAAATCAACTTATAGCTACAACTCAACCTTCCGAATCATGAAGACAATTCCATGCTTTATTGTTTACTTTATAAAGCGGTATAGAATTCTCATATTGTTTGCAACAATACCGATTACCGAGGGAATTAGATCATTTATTGAGTCAGTCGCAGCAATAAATTGCAAATTACTAAGAAAGTGCATTGATATGAATTATTTCAATAAAACTCTTTTAATCTGTGATCTGTGTACATATTACGCAATGGAACATACAACATTACAAAAATATTCGTGGTATGGTTGTACGACGGTGTGGAGGCACTAAATTCAAAATTAAGAAACGATTCGGGCAAGTGCGACTTTAGTCTCGGTTCCGCACGGAGCAGCTAGTAGGCTACCCTGCTCCCATAAGAATCCCAAAGTATTGCGTCCGCTTAGCGGCACAGACAATGACTGCAAATGTCAGTCTCACCATTAGCATTGATCACGTTCAATCTGTGTGGGGCAGCCGTTCCTCCTCGATCGTTCCAAATACGAATTTCAAGACGCGATTGCTGCCGACGCCAATGTAATTGTCAGTAAATTGTTCCGCGGGTAATATCGTTCCAGCAACAACCACAAAGGTCCTACTCGTTACCGCAATACCCTAAGATCCCGTTTGACTGCGGTTTGTTCTATTAGGTACGACATTCTCACATTAATTCGATTGTTTCTGTGGTGATACTAAACGCGACATTAGATACCTATTCATCCGATTAACCCTCGACTATTGGTGTCAGGGTCGCTTGTTATACACCATGAACTGGCTTATGTTAAACTGAGTACTCTCATGCACTTGTAGCGAACACAAACTACACTACGAATTATAAATTTTAAAAACAATTCGTAATTTCGATAATATTCTCAATGTATCGAAAATGTGTATTGAAACAAGCTATGTCGGATGAAAGTGTTCTTCCGTCAAGCAGGAAGATTATAATAATAGTTTTAATTATGATCAAACTGCGAATTTTATCTATTTACAACAAAACTGAATAGGAAAAGTACAACACTGTGAAGAATTTAATACAATTTCAGAATATTGTTACACTATTTTCGACCTATTAAAAATATTGAAAGATCAAATTTTCTTGTATTTATCAATTATTATAGTTTCAGTTTGAAATGATTTCACAGAGTACCTAATAAAAAGATATAACTATATTTTAATTCCTAGATTGTCCTTTCTCCTGAATTCGATTACTAAACAAAAAGCTGGTGACGATGATGTTAACGTTATTTTAAAGTTATGATCACCTGTAAGATAACTAAACTGTATTATGCAAAGAAGAATGCAATTTGAAAGAAGAATGAAACCTGTATCGGTAACCGGAGCATCGAAGATCGCGTCTCTTGTTGCGACTGTGGATTAAAGGTCACGTTCGGCTCGACACGCTTTACGCCCGTAACTTCGTCTGCAGGCAATATAGCGTAGAAAACCGTATTAATCCCTGAGAACGTGACTCTTTCCCAGCCATAATGTTAGCGCTCGACTTGCCGCTGCTAACCGATCGGTTGCTTCACTCGCGAGGATGACGCGTTGCTCGCCGCCCACGGTTTTTCGACTAACTGAGAATACGAAGTGTGAGAAAAGAAAAATACGTGATATGAATCACGTTTCAATATATGTAGCTGTTTATCCTTTGTTTTGATCCTCCGTGGATCCCTGTAACTATTGCCACGGCCGATCCTTCGGCCAAATAAGAATCGTTTAAGTCGATTGTATGGTATCGTAATTAACTGAAGATATATTTCCACTCTTAACAATTTAAACATCTTAGTTTTATATTTGACCTGGAAATCTTTCTATCTGAGCACCATATACGTATCTCTATAGCTTAGTCATATAGCGATGAGTTAGAAATTTACTAGAGGAGTTACATAGAAGGAAACAAAAAGGTCCGTAAAATCGTAAAATCAAGTAATCGAATTAGTAATTTCACAATGAAAAACTGAAATAATTCAGCTGCTGGAATTCTTCATTCAGACGATCTTAAGATAATACTTCATTCATTTTCGTCAGAAACGTCGTGAAGCAATAAAAGATTTTATCTGATATTATGTTTGCGCGATAAATATATTCAGCATTATGAATAAATCTCTATATAAGTTCTGTCCATAGAACTACAATTTGCATAAAGATCCATAGCCAATTAACATTTGCGAATGCAAATGCGCTGCTGTCGATGCCAATTACACCCGAGGTTAAAGATCAAGCCTCCGACCACTCAGTCGCCACGTAAAATCGCAAATTACACTAATCCCGTGGCAATCGCCTCCGCGCTGCCGATTCTTTTGTTCGGAATGCGCGATTAAATCGAAAGTGACTCTACTTATCCCGCCTGCGAGCCGAGTGTTCCCCTCGCGACAGCTATTTCTCCTCGTGCACCGGGAGTTAGGGTCGCATCATATTTACGTCGAAGCGCGCGATTCGCTGCGGATCACAAAAGGAGATCCATCGAAACGCCGGGAGAGGCGGGTAATCCGCAGCGAAGACGAAGCATTCTCACGAATGGCTCGACGAACGGAGAGATTCGATACCATCGGAGCGCCTGGCGAAACGACACAAGTTCGTCAGCCGACAAAGAGGATCCTGGACTCTTTGCAAGCCTCGAAACTTTCTTGAAAGAAACAGAATCTGTCTCCGTCTCTCTGCCTCTTCCAAGTTATAGGGTACTGCGACGTCGCAGACGCGATAAATGTATCGACGGGTCGCGTCAAAGGGAGATGGGGATCCGTTCGTCGTTTTGTTTTACAGACTCCTCTTCGGCACTCTGGAAACGAGACTCGAGGAGAGAGACCCGACCGATTGTCCACGGTTCGGTTCACCGGGCCGTGATGAAACGATGAAGAAACAATGGCGGCAGAAAAAATTCGCCGGATTCCGTTCCGCGTGGAAACGACTGTTTCTCAACGATCCGCGGCCGAAGGTCAACCAATGGGACCCGCATCCCGGGGGTGGGTGTGCCGGATGGTGAACTTCTTACACAATGGCCGAGGCTGCACCATCAGCGGATATGATTTGAAGGGATCAACGGGGGCGCGGTCGAGATCCTGGAGTAGTATATAAAGTCCGACCAAGTCATCCGTGGGCACACTCAGCAATCGTCGGTCGGCAAAGATGAAGGCCCTCGTAAGTATCCGATCCCGCTGCGCCTGTCGGAAGCGTCGAGCAGTGATTTTTCTACCGCGCCACATCGTCGTGGATCGCCGATCCATATCGGATCTTGAAGTTCGGGGTACGGTGAAGGTGACATTGTGGCGGTGCCAGTTTTACACTTCTCGCGGGCGACGCCGATACCTTTATCGTTCGCACACGGATTATCCGCGAAAGTGACATCTGCGCGCGTATGTCTTTTTGTTGTCTCGTGGAGCGGGACTCGGTAGTGTTGACGAGATGCCGCTAATTCGTTCGTACAGAGTATTCGTAGCTGTTGTTCCTTACCGTTTGAAGGATGGTCGGAGACATTTCTAAGCTAACAGAACAACTTTTGCAATTTAATGACAACTTTTGTTATACCTATTCGAATTTGTCTGTATCTATTTTCTTCCACATATTTTTCATTCCGTTTCCTTGAGACCAAGGTTGACTTTCTGAGTGGGAACAATATGATCAAAAATTTGGTCTTGTTTATAGAAAATAAGAATTTAAATAGAACGTTTTTGTGGCTCTAGGTAGAAATGAACATAGGTCCCACAATTTAAGGATTCAATATTCCTAGGTGCATATATTAAACATATATGCAAGAGTTGTTTAGTCACACCTTGGGAAAATAATTCCCAACATAGTGCAGAAACGTGTTGTTCTAGACAAAGTCATTTCGTGAAAATAATACATATTTATAAAGTGTGCATTAATTGATACCACTAGATATATACGACACTTCACCCTGATATAACCAACTAGACCACGAAGTTTTCAATTTTAGCTTCAGAACGTAATAGAAATATATTCGATCAAAATTATAAGATATCAATTAATTTCGATTATGAAAAACGGAACAAGGGAAACTTCTTAATTTAAAAGTTCATGCGCGTATTAATAAGTGCGATGAATGTTTTAAAACATTGTTACTTGCCTTCGAATTTCCAGCTGATTCTGGCAGCTTTGCTTGCCTCCACCGCAGCTGCGCCGCGCCAGCGTCGCGAAGCTATTTGGGGAGGCTACGGTGGTCACGGAGGCTACGGTGGCCATCTCGGATACGCTCACGGGGTGGCAGTAGCTGGTCCATCTTTGGGATCAACCAGTGTCGCTGGTCCTCACGTGGGATCAGCTGTCTTGGCTGCGCCTTCGATAGGTCCAGCAAGGTTATCTGGATCCGTTGCTGGCCCGGTGCACGTTTCTGGTGCAGTTGCTGGTTCAGCGGTCGTCACTGCATCCGTTGCTGGTCCCGCACATGTTGAAGGTTACGGTGGACCCTACGACGGACCAAGTGGTGAGTATTCTTATCTTTGCTTGTCTAAAGATACAATTACTTAATTACGGTACGTTTTCACATCACGAAAATTATACGAGGCAATTGAAATACGAGAAATAATGTTACTTATGTAAGAAATAGGACAAGTAAGATATGTAAGGACAAATAAGGACAAAGTTCCGTAGAAATGGGATTGAAGTAAATACTTTCCATAACGAACATTACTTTCGAAAGATAATCTTTGGTAGCATCGCACAGCTCGTATAAGTTGAAATATTTGTACCTTAAAAAATAAATAATATACTCACATTAATGGATAATATGTGTAAAAAAAATTGATAGGAAATTTCCGATTTCTTTAAAAAAAATCCCATTGGAGACCTGAAGAATGAACACTCTGATGACAGAATTATTTGTTGAGATTTGAAAATTGATTTTTATAATAATCTATTATATCTTCCTAACTTTATTAGGATCTAAAACATGTAAGAATGTCGTGAGAAAGAATAATTAATGTCATACAACTTAACTCTGTAATCTTAATTGAATCAAATAAAGTATCTCAATTTTATGCAAATTTTGAGGTTGTTGCCATGGTAGTCAAAGTGTTCAAGCCTGAAGTTAAAATGAGTAGAATGAAAAGGTTCTTGCACATTTCTCGTGAAATGCATCTTAAGGATCACTTCTGTAATGATTTCTAAATAACGTGTATGAGAGTTTAAAAATTACCATTCATGAAATTGTAGGACTAGCCTACGCAGGTCCAGGATACGGTTACGCTGGCTATCCAGGTTACTCAGGATACGCAGGGTACGCAGGGTACGGAGGCAATGGTGGACACGGTGTGGTGCTGGCGGGTCCAGCATCCCATGGAACGGTTTATGCAGGGCCAGCCGCTCACGGTGCAGTACTCGCAGGTCCAGCATCTCACGGTGCAGTCCTCGCGGGACCGGCATCTCACGGAGCAGTCCTCTCTGGGCCTCACGCAGGAAGCGCAGCCGTGTCTGGGCCCAACGCTGGTTCGGTAGTAATCGCTGGTCCCTCCGGCAAAATCACGGCTCATGGAACCGGGCATGGTGGAATCCACACCGGCCATTGGTAGAGAATGCGAACTGTGAAGAAACGAAGAGTTTTGGAAACCTCTCGATACCAACCGCGTCGAGTTACAAGATTTACGATAGTTGGAAGTTGAATCCCCATTAAGGACAGTCCATCGAGATATCGAACTCGGTGATCTGTATTACACGATGTTCCCCGCGTGTGACACACTTTTATAATTACGTTTTTAAATAAATAGATAGTACAATGTTTGATACAACGTTCGCCTTGTGTGGAGTATTTTTTTACGGACGCGGTCTCTCGTCTATACTGTAATTTTCATTCTGATCTCCTATGGTAATAGATAAATACGATTCAATTATTACAACCAGCAGATATGTTGTCTAATTACGATAACCATTATTATTATCCATTAACAGCTTAGTTTTTTCAACCCGATCCGTAGTTGCCTGAAACGTCCTCTGTCCTTTATCGTCGATGTAAATTCATTATCTCTTCCACTTTATCGAGCCGTAAATTAGTTACCCGCCTATTACCGGCATCAGCTGCTTCCGTTTCGATTAAAGGAGTCGCGTGGAGTTCTAACGTAATATGTTGCCTGTCTGCATAGTGATTTCATAAGTCCATCGTCAAGATATCCTCGAAATTGTACTAACTCATTGAACTAAAAGGTTCAGCATTCTTGAACTTCACACTTTTCATTAAAAATCAATTAAAATTATATCAGTTTATATTTACATCGGTACAAAAATTAATTTTCTAGACCTTCAGTCCTTATGTGTTTCTCAAAAATAGTTGCGCAGGATATTCTCTTGGGCACTTGATATGCCTAATTGTATTTTATTTCTAGTCTCGTATGTTAAAAGAGTACTTTGTTTCTCGTCTTCATCTTTCTACATGATTTTAAAAATAATCTTTTTTGCTCAAAAATTCGTAAACAGTTAAAACAAAATTATTTGCTGTCTGTCAATGATTATATATATAATATTATATATATAATTAGATATATTATATATATAACAATTGCTCAATTAATCAATTAGAAATCAGTCTCTCCTATTTAAAATACGAATTTGGTGGATTATCAATGGCGAAGCATATCTGGATTAATTAATTCACCCACAGCATTGAAAATGATAATGAATTATTGTGAAAAATTCATTCCTAGAAATACGTATGCAAAATGTGGCATTTATTGTGAACAGAATTAAAGCTATCAAATGGATCTAATAGATCGTTACCGATCCCGCGGTTTGTAATGCTTATCTCCCTGTAACGTTCGAGGATTGTGCGGGTCGATAATTTAACGTACAAGGAACCGGAATCGACTTGAACAGTTGACACAGATCCGTCCCGTTAAAACGATATATGCCGGATCGAGAGCTGCAGAAAACGATAAGGTCATTGAAAACGTGACTTCTGATACGGTTCGTCAGTTGTTGATTGTATGTCGCTGACAGGATCAGAATTGATCACTAATTGATCACGAATTCCCGCATCGTTGTTCGATAAGATTAAACCTTTGAACTGTTATCTAAACATAGAATTGTTGGCACCAAAAATAGGAACGACCATTCTTACTTACGAACAATACTGATGATCAGAAAACATAGACGAGATTACGTTTCCCAAAGGGCTATGCAACACATTATGTGTTTCGATGGTCAGTACGCGATACGTAGCGATCTTTGTGCGTTGAACAGGAGTTTGCAAAACAGTTTCTTTCCGTGCTGTTGATTTTGAAAGATTCAATTTTCAAATGAAAGCAGTTTAAAAATATTCTCCCCTTTAATTGCAAAAGATGCAAAAATGTTCATTATCTCAAACAATTCTGCACACTTTTTTCATTCTTACTATACCAAAGTGATACTTGGAATGTGTTAGGCAGATCACATATTCTTAAACATTTCAAAACAGTGACAGATTTCAAAATGTCACGTTCCGCATTAAATGGCTTTCGTTCACAATTATAAAACAGATGTGGAATATGTTATCTTAATCTGTCATTTATTATACCAGTTTATATTACTTAAAACTGATCGTAACTGCGAATCACGTACGATACACAAGACAATGAATGCGTTAAGCATTTAAAAAGCATTTAAAAAGATACCTAGCTAAGTGCAAGTGTGTTACATTCCTTAACCATTAGGGGAGTTTTCAGTGGTAAATAGATCTACATGGGTCGCCAGAGCTCTCATTCCGCCAAAGGTCCAAGAAAAAATCTCTTGTTACCTAGGTCAGTGGACACAGGTGTTTAAACATGCAATTTGAATAACATTGAATTAACGAACGTCGCGCGCACGCTTTGTAAAAGTTTGTACAAGGGACGGCGAGAATTTTCAACGTTATCTCTCCTTACGCTTGGTCAAGGAATTTATCGTAGGATCAGCACACGACAATTACCGTGTGTCTCGTTAAGGTTAAACTGGCTCGTACTGCAAGAAATACTTCGACCGTGAACTATTTTTATGTAACGGTTTTTATCTGTAGAACAATGGCTATTTAAACTGTTGCAGACGAGTGAATTTTGTCGCATAGGATATTCATCCTAGATTGTTAACCTTTAACTTCTTAACCTTACACTCAACCTGTTGAATTGTAGCATTTCGTCACACATTTTGTCAAATTTTAGATTGTACTGTCTTTAGAATGATTCGATAATCTCACTCAATTACTTGAGATGAAAAACTTTTAGCATCATGTTTTCCTGGTTTACGTAAGTTTATCTGGTTGTTAAATACATTGATATCAATGTAATAGAAAAACCTCATAAAACTGAGTAATGCGATAATATATGAGTAAAATGAATAAAATGAGTAAAATGATAATAATAACTTCAACATAGTATATTTTTAACATTATTTCGAACCTAGTATTTTGCACCATTTTCAACATAGTATTTTTAATAGTCACACTATTTTTGCAACATAGTATATTTAACTATTAAACTATTTTCGACATATATAATATTATAATTTTGCAGAGTAATATTAAGTACAATATACTCCATTCCCAATGATGAGTAAAATATTCGTCACATTGCAATAGTTTCCAAATTATAAACGCAATACAGCAAAATGATAAACGTGATAACGTGATAATAAACTTTGCAATAGAGAAATGTGACAAATGTTGAGAGTCGACACATAACGAAACGAATTGAATTTATAAATTTTTAATGCTAGAATACTGTTTTCCAGAGCAAATTGCCATACGATTTGCAGCGTAGAATAAGCTCAACGCTGCCCTAAAAAGCCCACTTGAATCTAGAGCAGCGGACGATTTATCACATGATTCATGCGAACCTTAGAATCACTTGCATATAACCATACCTACATTTTCTGCTCCTCGGGGAAGATTTATTGCCAAAATCGCGGGACCGGGATCTCTTTTACGCCGTTACCTACAAGGATGAATATCAGGAAGCAGGTTCGAAGAAGGTGGTTCCGTTTCTATGGGAACATCATGGCCCCTCGACGGTGCATCACCTGCACAACCTTCCGTTTCAACATCGATGATTGCATTGCGAGAACGCGCCAATCCACTACGAATTCTGAAAGGTCACCTATTTGCGATCGAACTTCCATTGGACAGTGGAAACTAAAAACCATAAATGTGCAATAACGTGTCGGCTTGTTACTTTCTTCCCATTTAGTAGCATTCTTTACTTTACAAACTGGTTTTGAAGTTATCATTTGGATATTTTTCTGAAAGGAAAATACCACCTACTGTCGTTAGTGGTACTATGTAACTTTGCTCTTCTCTTGCTGTTCTAAGTTTTTGTGATTTCAGTATGTAAACAAAATCTGAGAAAATTCTGAGATACTTATCGAAATCTCTAATTTGACATACGTGTGTCAATTAAACATTTAACGTGAAATATTTAACGTTTAAAGCACGTTTTGAAAAAGTAGACTCTTCGCTGGTATAATCAAGTATTTCTGACATTTTATGGTAAAAATTCAATTGTCCATATTTTTATTATCGTATACATTAGGTGGCTAAGAATGATATGGAATGGATGATTTATCTAAAGTTAGATTAACACATTTTCTCATCATCTTTATTTGAGGTCTATCATGATCCCAGCAGATCAGTTATATTTGTAAAAATTATTGTACCAATTAAGAGTTAAACAAAGTCGTCTAACCCTAAATGACCCGTAGCGAAGGGTTACACACTGAAGGGTTAACACACTTTCCATATGCAAGGTATGCAAATTTTTTCATTTTGCCCAAACTTTTCTATCGAACTGAGTATGTAGCAGTGACTAAAATATTTTTACAAGATATAAATATAAATAATTTGTAGATTCGGCAGATTTGCTATTTCAACATTGTTAGCTACGATGTATTGCAACATAAATTACACAGTTTTCTTCCATAAACGCTTGCAACTATAATCGATAATGGAAATAGTTGGTAAGACTATTGAAGAAAAAAATACTGTACACGTTTCCGTTTCCTTTTCTATTGTCAGAAAAAGGCAACTATTTTACAATACAAAATATAACTACTTACAAAAACGTGAATATTTATGTACATGATTGTTGTCTTCATTTTATACGTTACGTATCCCGTTGATGTATTCACGGCGTTATTATAATATCTTGCGGAACGTATACTATGTATAGACGCTTTCAGTACCAAGATTATTTTTGATCCATTGCAGGATTGCTGGATTTTCAATTATGCAAAATGTAAATGTGTTATTTATTTCGATGCGGACAATCATGGCGCGCGCTCTGCTGGGGTCCTTTAACAATGCGCTCGCGTATAATTGTTAGGAAATAAGGGACTCGTTCTATTCTAAGAGCGGGTGAGGTAGATTTTCGATGTAAATGGCCCAGAAGTTCGTTACTCTTCATTTGCTTTGTCTTCGGTGCTCTGCTTAAATGCATCGAGTTAAACGCAACGAGCGAGAGATTCGTTCAGAGTTATTGCTCGTTCCCCAGTAACTTTCTTGGAACGCCTCAATGTGGTTTAAATTTTATGAGCTAGATCGAATTCGAATTTAGCTTACAACTCAACATTCGGAAAAAACGTGTCGCGTAGATACATTTATGGGACTGGTGTACGTTTCCGCTATTTTCTCATCAAATCTAAGACTTTATACAAATATATTGCCCTTTTCAAATCATTTTATACAATCGAGAATCAGTTACGAATTTATTTCTGTTAAAAGATTCGTCGAGTCAGAATTTAAGTGCAATAAAGAATTCATTGCATAAAATGTAATTCAACCAACAAGAACGTTGGCCATCAATTATTTGTTAATACCTAAAGTCCGATTTTCTTTCACTTGTTATTAACACTGAGTTGCCGAAGATTAGATAAAAAATGAACCATAATTAGTTAGGTAATATGTGAGAAACATTCCAAATATCTTGCAGTAGCTTGTCCAATAAGAACCCATAATTTTTTATTAACGTGGAACTGTATTTTTAGAAATGTTTTTGCCATTGAAAACAAACCATCGGTCCTAGCATTTCTTGAATGGCGCTGGAAACTTTCTCATTCCATATTATAAAGAATTATATTTATGAAATCTAGTTTGTCTAAATCGAATGTTTTAAAAAATGCGTAATGTTTTACAGAATCGAACTTGCGAATGAGAAGTGCACTAATTTAGTAGACAACTTAATATTTTGTTCTGATTCAAGCTTTCAATTATTTCATAACTCTGTTCCACAACCATTTCTGTGAATATTATATATGTATACATTACAATATCATAGCGTATATATTATACATATTATTATATATACGCGTTCTATTTAGAGTGATTAAATTAAAATACTTTTCAACTATTGTAATCTAACGTGCTTGTCACGATTTCGAGTTCAATAGCATAATTGTCAATAACTTTTTTCTTTCTAACAATCCGTCATACAAGACATTCCCCATGTAATCGCTGAAGTTCGTAAGCCCAAGAGCACTTAATGTTGATGTAGAATTCTCTATATGGTTCTAATAGCAGTAAATTTTTACAAGATCCTTGAAACAGGCTGAAGACCGAACGAAATCCGCGGAGCGCTAGCGCAATCGTGATAAATCATTCAAATGATCATGGGTCGAAATCGTAACAGTGACAGGTTGTTGACTACCGGGAACATACCTACTGTAACAATCTCGTTGAGCATAAAGCACGTAAGTTAGATTGTTTTCGCGTTCCTCGCGAACCCCTGTGCTATTTCGAACGAGAATGACAGGAGGTGCGGCCGATAACGAGGTAGATACGGTTATGGCTGGATCGTTAATGCCTCGCGAGTTGCCGGAGATCGAGGAAGGTCGTTCGATGGATCCTTCGACGGGGAGCTGGAGCTACCGTGGACGATGGCCGCCGACGCTCGACCCGTGACTCGCCTGGGAATACAAAAATCACAGGGAAAGAGATACAGAGAGAAATTCGTTAACTTCGCCAGAGATATTGACATCATTTTATGGTCCGGCATAGTGGCCGTGTCAAAAAGGATTACGCATGGATCGCACGCGGATAAACGAGAACACGTCGGTATTTAAAGATTGATCGGAATCACGAGATTTATTCCAGTTGTTGCCTCCATCTTTCAAATCGTCGGATACGGTATTTCGTACCGTTACCGAAAAAATAGAAATGATGGCTGCTATATGTCTGGTGCAAATCGGATATTTGTAGCGCTCGCGATACCCCGTACATAGTAAGTCCTGAAAAGTGGCATGGAAACGAGGAAATAAAGTTCTCTACGATACGTTCTCGCAGCGAGCAATGCCACGAAAATGAAGGAACACCGATGTGCTTTGGTTCCTTTCCGAGAACGAGAATAGACTAACGAAAACACGATTCTTTCTCGACTCTTCCGGCAACTCATGGGAGGGCAAATATATGTGATTAACGCTTACCTCGGGAACCGATGCGACTATCGAGTACCAGGCATTCATGGATTCGAGAGCGAGATCTATGATGGCGGCATCTTCCATGATAAACGCCATTGGGGGCCGGGGCAATCCATTCGAAGATGGCTCCAATTAAATCTCGGCAGCGCGATCCGGCGATATCTGCGCGTTCGTAGCCTCCGGTCGCTACCAACCCTAACCGATCGGGTGGTAATCGCGGAGAGGCCACGCTGAGCAAACGGAAGCCACCGTGATCCCGAGCAGCGACTTTCCATCAGCCATTACGGACGAACATTGCCGTTCAAGCTGATGCTAAGTGAGCTTTTATAGACGGCACCAGCGAGCACGTGGGTCGGTGAACTTATTGGGGGTAAGGGCGGGGCTGCGCCCGCAATCTCCTGAACCGTGACGGGGTGCAAAAGCTCGATCTGTCAATGCAAAAATTTACCGCCGCGTGTTGCAATCCTGAGTCAAATTGGAGACGCTGACCACACCTTGGAGACACTCTTCCGCGCTGCGAATCCGGTTTCGAGCGCGCCGATCGAATAAATATAATCGAATAGATCGAATAAATCGAATTTAAAATGTTGCAATTTCTTCGGTAACGTTTCCACCTGCAGGATAATTATTAAATTTTCATCAAAACTATTAACGATCTTGTTTCATCTTCGACCACTGCGAATCGCGTTCCCAATGAAAGATTTCTTAATATTGTAATACTAATATATATTGTACGAAATAATTTTAAATCAGGCGTAAAAGGAGGCGCGTGATAGAAAATTTCTCGGCTCGGCTCGGAATAGATAACAATACGAATCATATGGATGTCATTTCTTTTGTCAAGGTGTTCTAGAATCCCGAAATGGCAGAAATTAATTTATAATTGTTTTAGAAGTCGAAACGATTTTAACATCTAATATTTCCCTCTGAATTTTAAAACGGATATTATTCTGACAAATGTTGAGAAATGCAGATTTTGTAACACTGCCTACTGACTAATTATATTATATCCATGGATTCATTGTTCAATTATGTTTATGTATCTGTTAAGCATATACTCACACAAGTAACGTTCATATCAGTCAACAAATCAATAGATTGAATGTATACTCATCCATAAAAATATTGCATAATTAATTGTCTTAACAATGATTAAGCATCATACTCGTGTCTAAAAATGTTTACTATCAAAAGTTCAGCAGCTCGGACGATGCGGCGAATGGACAGAGAATTCGAATTGAACAAATATAACGTTGATTTAAACCCATATATATTCCGATATCGCACGTACAATTCTAATATTTTTTCGCTGCTATTATTGTCATTCGCTGTTCCGTTCATAACAATCACCGTAAAGTGAAAATGTATTTTTTATTCTTCCAGTCGTTTGAGAGAAACCAATCGAATTTTTCTGGACAACTGCAGTGTTTGATTAAAAGAGAACGGGATCGGAAACGACGCACGTCGCTCCAACGGTGATTAACGAATGTGCCGAATTCGCTTCTGTAAACGACTTTGGTAATCCTCTTTCATCCCGTTGCAGGCTTTGTAATGGTAAACCGGTTACAGGATGCGCCGATACGCATTACTTCCGTGTGGAAAATGGACGTCGGTGTTCCAGGCCTATTGGGTGACCTGCCAATATTCTAACAGCGTGTTCTTTTTTCTTTCATTTCTATCTACAGGTACATACGGCAATCGAAATTACACAAAAATCTCGTAAAAATTCTACAATGACATAAATCGTACATGTCACTCTTGTTTTTGGTGTGTTGTCGCGCTATAACATTGGAATCTGCATAGAAATATTTGACGGCATTCTGGAATAGCGTCACGAGTCGTAAAATGTTCAAAATAGATACTCGAATAAAAGATTCGATGTTCTCGATATACGTATATTTCTGCATGTAAAATATTGGAAACTGCGAAACGAAAATTTTAATTGAAGCAGTTGTAAAACTAATTCAACCCTGCAGCGTCTTTTCATCAAGAAACGAACTTTTCTCGGTGCAAAATTGTTTCAAAATTACATGTTGGGATCCGAATTGTTTCGAATCAGAAAATAAATCTGAAAATTTCGGTAACTTTACCATTAACGTTTTGCATAAAGCGTTTCGCGTAGTTCGAGAATACGCAAGTTACAGATAAAGCGAAAATGCGAAGAAAAAAAACGATTATTGACTCCCACTACGATCGCTAGTGACCTGAAAGTGCAATAATTTTCTAGGCGTGCAGGGTCGATGGTGGGTACACAGAACGCCTCATCGGGTGAAAAAAAAGGAAAAAACGGAGTCGTACGTGCTCTCGTAAACGAGGCGTGGCATTAAAGTCGTCCCCCGGAGAATTTTACGGAACCGAGGAACAATTATTCGAACAATCGCGTCGCCGGTCACCTTTGTCACCTTCGAAAGTGCACGCAACGCCCAACAATGATATTCCAAACGATCCGTGGCACGGTCGGTGATCCATTGCGAGGCCTGCTGCCACCGTAACACACGCGTATATCCGACTACAATGACACCGTCATTCCAGACGACAATCTCGGCCCGGGGACGGCGCGTGGGCTACGCGACCCGAGCCTCGCCTAAACGGATGCAACAATGCAACGCGTAATGGGCTCGACTGCCGACGCGTGCTCACCTAATTCAGCGTATCTTCATCGCGAAATCGGGGGAGAGAGGAGGATAGGGATAGGACGAGGCCGGTCTTCTTGGCTGTGAAGGTCGCGACGATCGGTGCCAACCGATTGGCCGTGATATTTCACCGTCTTCGGTATGACGATCGGAATCGTCGTGAATGAAACCTGCTTCTGGATGTGAATACTTTTATGCATAGCGTTAATACATATGGAAATTAACAATGAAAGAGAGGCGAGTAGGCTTCAATCCGATCTGATGTAACGTTTCTCGTAATTAAGCGAACTTCCTGTGAGTAGCGGAATCCTTAAAAATGCTGGGAACGTCAATCGGCATTTGCCGTAACTGCTACATTGTCTAAAGCTTTCTGCGGCATTGGCAAGATGCTAGCACAAAATTTGTTTCTTTCTTGAATAATTCTTATCAGTTAACGATGACATGCTTTCAGCTGACTACTGTTCTGCATTTTACTTACACATCATTTGTCATGAATGGATAGTTACAATGGTATACCAAGGAACATTACGTAGATAAACATTAAACTCACCGAGTGCTAAAAATAATTGAATTTGCTTAAACCTCTTGCCACTTTTATTATACCGCACACGCTTGACTTAAGAAATTTACTTAATCATGTCCTACAAAAGTATCTCTACAAATTGAATGATTTCAAAATAAAAAAATGTGAGATCAGTCACTGTTGGTGTTAAGTTAACCCTAATGGACTAAATTAAATTTTCATATTACTGTTTGTTGGCATAAATGTACCAACGATTCTGATATCGAAGAATATTTGATCGAAGATTTCGATAAGAAATGACCACACAAAAATGTGCTATCTATCCAGCATCGAAAATCGCCGCGCTGTTTGCGTGATTTTTGCATCCGCAATTTAACAGAGGCTGAATCAAATGAGAAAATAACGCGAATCGACAGGTCACCCGCGGTGACATTTTTTGCTAGTGACCGGGTACACGACACAGCCACCGGGACAGTTACACGTTGGATTGAATTCCCTTACGCTATCGATATATATCTTTCTGTCCGGCTGAGTGCAATGTGTTCTGCAAGGTTAAACGCAATCGTAAAAACGTATCGAAACGGATGCAACAGTTGGATATAGAGCACGTGACCCCCGTAGGCTGCGAGGCGTTAAGCGTTTGTTCGTGCGTTGTCGGGCGGGCCGGCGCTGCTGATAAGCGTAGAAACGGCCACGCGGCCAGGCCAACCCGCAGAGAATGTTTGGCGTGTCCTGTGCCCCGCCCTTGGGGTTGGCGGGAGCAGCAGAGACCAAGACTGCACAACAATGCCCCTATAAAAGCGCCATCGAAGCCGTTCGATGTCAGCACATCCACTCCAGCCACCGAGGCAAACTCTTCTACAAGCTTAGCAGCCGGCAAGCCCTTCGACTTCCTCTTCAACATGTGCAATCTGGTAGCGGTCTTCCTTGTCGCGGCTCTGTCCACCGTGTCGGCAGCGCCGTCCTGGGCTCCCGGAGCTGCCCTAGCCGGGCCAATCCTGGGGCCCGCCGCTCTCAGCGGACCCATCGTTGGACCCTCCGCCTTGGCGGGCCCGGCCGTCGGACCTGCTCGCATTTCCGGTGCGGTAGATGGCGGCGCTGTGGTCACCGGAGCCGTTGCAGGACCTTCTCTAGTTTCCGGCAGCGTTGCTGGTGCTTCTTGGGGAGCTCCCTGGGCTGCTGCTGCACCATGGGGCGCTCCATGGGGTAAGTCGTCAGAAATTACACTCTTACCAATATATTTTTAGGAAACGTGTTCTACTTTCCTATCGAACGCGCCCGATCGGTAAAGTGTCTTTTATCTTTGAAATATGGAATGTGCATTGTTCCACACAAGGAGAGACTGTATCTAATCTTCCGTTTGCTTTCTATAATGCTCCATAAATTTAGCCACCTACGGTGGCTTCCACCTCTTTTCCAGATGAATAAGGAGTCGTTGCTTGAAATCTATTGCTTTAGTCATACAACTGTGACTATCAATGGCAGTTTCGAGTAGATGCACTTTCGAGCCAGAAATTGTGGTTCTGCAGGAAATTCGCCGATCCATTAGAGATTCCTTCTGTATCTTATCCATCGCTCCGAAACCGATGTCCTTAATCGAACTAATTACGAACGTACCTGCTTTCAGGAGCCGTTTTGGCCGGACCTGCGTCACTTCCAGCGGCACTTTCCGGACCCGTGGCCGCCCCAGCTCTGATTGCTGGGCCATCTGGTAGTATAGCGGCCGGACCGGCTGGCGTAGGAGGAATCGTTAGCGGTGGCGGACATTGGTAATCACCCAGAACGGACAATCATCCGACATCTTCGACTGATCTCCCCTGATGCCCGCAACTTTGAAACCGACCGTGCCACGATCTCCGTCATACACCGCTAGTACCTCCCATCACACTGTATCTTTTACATGTATTCCGTGTACATAACAATACCTCATATGCGTTGATATGTTATAATAAAAGCATGCAATTTCGGAGAGGAATCTCATTAGTCGTTTGTCTTTAAGCCGTCAGAGTATTTAATCTTCGCTGGTTTAGTCTGAGCAATACATCAAAACCTTTTTTTATATGAATGTACACAGTAGATGCAAATAAATGACAGCATGTGTTCTTATACATACCTACCTTTTTTTTCTTCTACATTTAAGTTCCTACTTGTCTGTTAGCAGGTTAGTGCAAAAGTAATTTTGAATCGTCAACTTGATCGGCAAGTCGGATCTTCCGTCAAGACTTAACAGAATACTTACTTTAATTAGTTTTACGACTATTTCTGGCAGTTCGACATCAAATTTTAAATACCGTCACTTAAAAGTATAATATTTTCATCTTCGGTTCAAAATTGAGAACTTGACTCTTAGGTCATCACGGCGTTACTTTCCGGGGTTGCTTTTATTCTCTCCCTTTACGTACCTTTTATTGCGACGAACCAAGAGCTTCTTCAGACTTCATTAATATTTGCTTCTTGGATGTACCGTACGTCTTTTATCTTTTTCTGTTATGTTCTCATCCATCTTGCAATAAGGTTTTATGATACACTCTGGTGGTTCACATTTCACAACCAGTTAGTCTATATTCACAATTATCCTCTTGCGAAAATGAATTAGCACGATTACAATTGACGTGCTCAGCTATTCCAATCGATACAAGTTTAAGCCCGGAAGAATTTCACAGACAATGACTAAGTAGATTTCTTCGAACAAGGAGAGGTTTACCAAGAATTTTTGAACGCCATGTTCCAGCAATCCAAAGGAGTGTGTATCAAATCTCCTACAATTATTTCACCAAACTTACACCATTTGATCGACATTGATTTCGCTGACAATATTGTTTATCCGGCATAGTGAAATCACCGACATTGTTTTCATCGACACTCGTTTCACCGCGATATTGGGGCTTTATGTCTACTGATAGTCATTTAGTACGATTGGCAGGCAAACGTAAAGTCAATGTCGGTGAAACGAGCGTCGATGAAAACATCGTCAGTGATTTCACTATGTCTGTTAAACGATACTGTCGACGAAATCATTGTCGGGCAAATGGTATCGATTAAGACAGTCTCGGTGAAATGATCGTGGGTGATTCGAAACAAACCCATCCAACGTATAATCTGTGGACATCGGTCTTGACAGAATTTCACACTCGAAAGATCAAAGCGAAGGGAGTCGATGTCAAGCGAAGTCAACATTAGTTTGTGATTAAGGTCGATTGGAATCCATTGTTCTCTACGGAACATCGTCACCCCAGAGACTGTCGACACTGGCGCGACCGGCCTCTATTTCGCGGTCCATTGTCCCGTCGACGGCATCGGGGCGCAACCGTGGGACGATACCTGTCCACCTTTACCGGTAATTGGAGGAAATTGCTTCAACACCACTCCAATCAGCCAAGTATTCTCTATACGAGGGGCGACAGTACCGGATCCTCCTGATATCCGAGCGTTTCCCTTGCCGGCTTTGTTCGGTAGTCTGTCAAGCGTCGCTACATCGTCGTCGCGCCCTTTTAATCTCCGCTTTCAATCACACTCGTCGCTGGAAAATGCATCGGGAAAGATGCATCGCGGAGTCTGGCCGGGAGGGGGAAGGTGCAGAGCGTCGCGAACTCCGCCCTGTTTCCGGCAGTCAAAAGACCCGGAGAAAATTATTAGCGCAACCTTCGTAGCGCCGGAGCACATTACCATTTCAAAGGGACATGACCGACCGTCGAAGAGCAACAAGTCCAACCGGTCGTCAAATTGGACAGTTTGTCGACGAAGTGGCTGAAATGGTCGTTATTAAGGAGCAGCCAGAAACTCGGACTCCGTCGTCCTGAATGAAATATGGTATTCAGGTAGTCCGGCGATTCGACAGGCTTAACCATCTAGTCGCGCTGAGCAAATATTTGAATGTTTACACGGCGACCGATGTTTACTCATATTACATGAAATTGGAATCGTAGGACACAAACGTCCGTTACTGCACACGGAAATCTAAGAATAGTTGGCATTTGACTCAAGCGTTCTTACCCTCGTCCATTTCTCCATCAATTGTAACGTTATTTGAAGGATATTAGATAAATTTTCTGCACCGTTTTGTTGAAAACGATTAGATTAATCTCGTTTTAAACTTGTTCTACTTTATGTTTCTATTTGCAACGAAGAAATTTACAAAGTTATTTATGTTTGATTGATATTGATATTTTAAGTTATTTTTAAGATATTTTTTAAGATTTTATTTTATTTTATAATATTATATTTAAGATATTGATTTTTTAAAATTTAAATTTGTTTTGCTTTCTATCTTTTCAATGGTGCTAATTAAATCTATCTCTCGTCATTTTGTACGTAGTGCCATTCTTAACACTTTATCTACCGGCAATTTTCTACAATAGTCCTTTCAAGAACGAAGATCAATAGATGGAAGTTTCTTTAAAAAATCCCTCAAAGACGACAGCAATTTCATTAAAACTCAATAAATTGTTTGAATTCAGTTCGCGGTTGAAGAACTTCCGTAGATAATGTTTACATCTCATTAATGAACGCAAATTAACATCGTTCCAAAAGTTTCTAGAAAGAACTTCACAGCAGAGGTTTTACTCATTTTTAATTACTTGTCGAACATTTTATTTAAGCCGAAATAACTACCTCCCATCATATGCGCAACAAAACCATCGTTGATTCTAATCATTATAACAACTTAAGAAGGTTCCTCTTGTTTTAACCACTACTATTAAATACTTAAATTTTTAAGATTCTTAAACTTAAACGAGTATGTATCGAATCAAGTGTACAAGGTGAAATAAAATTACGATTCTTAAGACACGTCAGAGACCGATCGAGAAACAAAATATCGATTAGAAAATGAAAGCTTACCCGTTTCTCTTGGAATCCGCTTCAAAAAGGATTCGGTTTTTCCTCCGTCGGCGATCACACGCGCAAACACTCTTCGTACTGCGTATCCCGCCGCGGGTAGCGGATGCGCTATGAATTCACGGAAATGAGGGGCACATCCGAGATGCAAATTATCAAAGCGGCGACGGTGACATTCGCGGAATCAGGAAACGGTGCAACAAGTACGACGAGTCCTTAAATCAAATAGTCTTGCAGCCCTGGAGACAAGGTAAATTCAATCAGCCGGGCCGACGCGATGATAACGGTTAATGTTGGCTCACGTAAACGGGCGAAATTTATAGTATACTAGGTAATCGAGTTGCGGGATCACCGAGTACTCCGCGAGATATACCTCTGCGCCGCGTCGTGCCGGGGTGTAATTAATCCGCGACATCTTTCGGTCCCGTCGTTTAACAGCATACGCACACACTCGTGAGAGAAATTCTTCCATACGGAAATAGGTCATGCCGAGTGGTTAACGGCACACCGTGACATTTTCCCGTAGAAAAATGAGAGCGAGAGATACGAGATTCAGGGTCGAGCGGGGGTATAAAAGCAGATATCGCGGGGTCAATTGGCAGTCTAGCAATTAGCTTTATAGCTACCGTCGAAGAAGACCACATCGGCAACCATGAAATTCCTGGTAAGACTCTCTTCTTCTTACTGAATATTTTATTTTTCTGTTGTGTACCTTCGATGATTTCTGAGCATCATTGGATGATTGAAGGAAAATGCATTCCTCCGCCATTGAAATGTCATTATGTTACGCTCACAAACGTGTTCTACCGTCTAGTAGTTTTAGTAAAGAATATAATTGCAAGGAAAGGAATATTCGTTGATTTGAAATCGCATTAGCAAAATTGCTATTAACCACTACTTTGTCAAATTTTATACAGTAAGTTATATGTACAGTATAGTAATGGATTCTTGCAAATCTAATTTGATTTTGATAGATGTATCTATATTCATCTTAATAATCGGATTCACTCGATTTAGTGAAATAACCGGAAAAATAATCGGTGCTTGAATAATTGAACGTTCGAGTAATAGTTTTATTTTATTCATTTAGAAAATCGCAGAATAATTTTATGTATACATGAGAATAATCTAGGATCTATAATAATCTGGAGTATACAAGTATAATGGAAACGAATGACCAGAAATGACACTAACAAGGAACGACGAGTAAAGAAATTACAGAACATAACTCCAGAAAGTACAAATCGCTATTTTTATGAGAAAGCTCTTCATTCACCCTCGTTCTTCATCGTCGCTCTACATATCTGTCCATCAAAAGGTCTAATGTTATCGCTTTCAGGCTATTCTGATGGCGTTCGTGTCGGTCTGCTCAGCAGCTCCGAGCGGAATTTTGGCCCCAGCCTTACCAGGCATAGCTGTTGCTGGACCACAGGTGGGCCCTGCAGTTGTTGCTGGTCCGGCAACCGGAGTTGTAAAAGTGGCTGGTCCTGTGGCTGGTCCAGCTCTGGTCACCGGTGCAGTCGCTGCTCCATCCGCTGTCGTTGGCTCTGTCGCTGGTCCTACTGTTGTTTCTGAACCCGGTTTGGGCGCTGTTGTCGTTGGTAAGCTAATTATTTATTCTTAATTATCAAACATCACCGACATGATGATTGTCAACTATCACCAATTGTGGATGTAGACCGCATAATGTGCACTTGTTCATGACTTTGTTGTGATACAGGCTGAGCAACGTAGTATACACGTGGTGGCATTTAACTAATCTAGTAGTAATCAATCTTAAAAATAGTTAACTAGTTGATCATAGTTGACAATCATGGAGCACGAAGTATTCTTCTTGCTAATGCAAATGGATTAATTTTCGCTTGTCGTTAATGAAAGTTCCGGCCCTTGGCACCATAGCGATGTAATTTTCTGCAGTGGAAATTAATAGTAAATAAATGATTTCTCCAGGAGGCGGAGTCGTTGCCCCTGCAGGCATAGTTGCAGCTGCACCTGCGATCCTGGCACCTCCCGCCACAGTCGTCGCTGGTCCAGTCACGTCTGCGGTCGTCGCAGGTCCAGTCACGTCTGCGGTCGTCGCAGGTCCAGCAACGTCTGCGGTCGTCGCAGGACCCGTTGCCAAAGCAGCTGTTATTGGTGCTTCTGCCTCGGCGGTAATTGCCGGAGGTCACCCCTGGTAATAGACTAATAAGAAAATGTGAAACTCCATGATATACATACCTCGTGCCTAACTCAGGCCTACACTTACGACATTCTATTCTTTTACCTACTGATTTAAACTGGATAATGCATCCAGATACATGTACGCTTATATTTAAACATATATTTAAATATTTAACTGTATAAATAAACAATATTGTATAGTCATTTTTCTGTTAACCTATATCTACCTGAAAACTATTTCTACCACCGTCCTAACGTACATTTATCGCCATTAATATATTTTCCGCAGACTCTTGTTTATGTTTGAAACTGTTCAGCGAAGATTAAATAAACCTGGCTGTCGTAGTTGTAAAATATGGCAATTATAAAATTCAAAGAAGCACAGAAATCAAGAAACATCGGTCGATTCATTTTCTCCTATATTTTCACAACAATTCTGCGCAGGTTACTTGTGTCAATCACCACTAAAACGAAAGATCTAATCTTGTAATTGTACTTGTCCTATTGTATCTTTAAAATTCTATGACTGACGGTAGCAAAAAATGTGACACAAAAAATTTAAAAAACCTACTAGATTCTTACACATTTAACTGATTTCGATCCGTTGTACCAGCTGAGGCTTCCTCCGAGTTAACAGGCTAAGGGCAGATTCCGTTATCATATTTGCCGGTTGCCACGAAACACGCTAATTGCTTTAAGCATTTCCGACGCCTTGACGATTCAGCGTTGCGGAATTTGGAGTGGAACAGCCGTCCTGTCCGGGACGTACGCTCAATACATTACGAATCAGCCGGCAACCAATCGTGAGCTAACTGCGCTCCCACACAAAAAGGCACGTACGAATAATTTTGCAACTGCACACGATTTGCAGCGGAACGCGCTTAGACAACTCCCGTTACAATCCCTCTAGCATCCCCCTCATGAATATTTCAGCGAGCACCACCGCCCTGGAACAAGTGGGACGCCGGAACGAGGAAAGAAGACGGGGTTAGCACCTGTGCGCGCCGTTCCGTCGCGTTGCCCACGCGAAAAACCAACGAAACCCGCCGACCGTAGGACAGATAACAATGCCCCGGCGAGCGCTCGTGCAATTATGCAGTCATAATCGGTTCACTGTCAAGTACACCATTCGACAAGCCGGTCGACGAGATAACCGATCGACTCCATCGATATTGACGCCGCCTTGCCGCGCCGCGACGGTAGCCACGGTTATGAGAGTGGAACGGATTTTCTCCTCAAGAATATCTAACGGTCATTCGGCTAGAGACGGAATCGCGTATAGACAGATTGTCAGATATGATAATAGGTGCTGCAATCCACAATATCAGCTGCGCGGAAATATAATCGACGGAGAGTCCAGGAAATAGGTTGAGCTCTGAAGGCTTTGTCAGGTGTACCACGGTGGAAAGTAATATCCTGTGGTTATCAGTGCACTGATTATGACGATGATTCTCACTTTTTCGAATTATTTTCTAATAATGGAAACAGTTTTCTACACTGATCAGAAGATTTATTGTAGCAAGCACAACATAATAACACAATTGATGTTTGTACATATCATAAACAGATCTGTATCGAAAGTTGAAGTAGGAAAAATGTAATTGAATTATCCCAACGTGTTTACGGTAGTAATCAAATTCAGGAATACAGCTGGAATTGCAGCTTTTGATTACAGAATTAACAGGAGAACTAATATGCTACTAGTACAATCTACAGTTCATAAGAAAAATCTTTGAATTCCTTGAAGAAATGTCAGATAACAGTACAGTAAAATTTTATTGTATTTCAATTCATTTAGTAATCCGCGACAAAAAAGAAACTTAAATAGATTAGCCGAAAGTGCGACTAACTTTTCTTCAAAATTTCTTTTTATATATTAATGACGAGGCTAAATCAGTAATAACTAATAACACCTACATCGTCGTCATTAATAGAAAGGATCATTTTTTAAATTTTCATGGCCAAGACGACAAACCTTCGTGCACCGAAAATTATCTAAAAACGTAAAATCATTAATAATTGATTAGTAGGTACTAGTACGACTATGAAATACTGGACGTCAATTATGTTAACGCGACAATGTCATCGATTTGACGATTCAAGAGAAACACTCGTTAGAAATCTTTAGCAATTCGATTACTGTTTCTTCAAAGTTATAACCTATAAATATATCACAACAATTATGTAGTTACACTCTACATAATGTCTTAAAAATTGTAGGCTATCGATATAACACGACAACAACTTATGTACATTATACTTAACTCCTTAAAAGTTTGCACTTATCGATGCATCGCAACGATAGGTTATGTACGTTATGCTTGATTCAAGTATATCAAGTTTCGGTAATGTAAATCTCGAAAAATAATCTTAATAGAGACTGAAATTGCTTAACTAGGAAAAAAGAAACATAGTGATAAGGTCGCGCACGGTAGTTCTTGATTAGAGTAGAACCTGTTTGTGTTCCGGATGAATGCTCACCGACTAGAAGCATTAATTGCTCTGCTGAACAATTAGGAAACTCAAACTCTCGATTAATTAGAAAGTAATTGACGCTGAAACCGTCATATGGAGTGGACAAACAAAAGTATTCAGACATCTTTTAAAACGGTATAACATTTTTAAAACTGCAGCAAATGTCTTGAACTTTTTGTAGATGTTAGAGAAGCTAATATACTGTACGATAACTAAAATACATTTTTTAATTTTGCTATTACTTGCAATGACAAGAAGATAAAAAAATTGTAGTTATTTATCTTTTTTATCGTATCTGACGAAAATTTCAAGAATGAGTTTTCTTAGATCTCGGCAACTTATATGCATATTAAAGTCTAACTTTAAAAGAGTTATACCATTTTAGAAGGTGTCCGAATACTTTTTTTACCCAGTATATGTACATATAATGAATATTTTAATAATATTGTATATGTACATATAATGAATATTTTAATCTTTTTCGTGGTAAGCATAGTAAATACAATTTTGTTTTTATAAATGAAAAGACAATGAATCTAGTTTTTCAAGTATGAGAAATACAAATTCCAAATACGGGAACCAACAAACAATGTAGCAACGTACCTTATGGAAGGGTCGTGGTTTCAAACATCGATTGTTGATGTTTACTTAATGCGTTTCAAAATATCAGATGTATGTACTTTGTACAAAAATAAGCGAAAGAAAATAACGTTCACTGTAGAAAATGGCGAACTGTATAGAACGAACATTTGTGGCTGCTTTCACAACAACACGCAATTGGCGCAGCAATAAGTGAATCGATATTTTGCGAAAAAGCTTCGCAATTCAATGCAGTACTGGCAGGTAGTAAACATTTTAAAAAATATAACCTTAAAAATAACCTACTTGTTGTTATATACATTTTCGAGAATTGCAATCGATTTAAAATCGTTGTTTCGTATTGTTAAGAACATGACAATTTGTATCATCGCAAGTGCAAGTTTGATTATATTTTTAATTAAATTTCAAATGGATTAATACTTTTGTAATGTTCAAAATATTGCCTCTTTTTATTTTCAAAATATTTCATTAACTTTTTAGCATACTTAAGAGAGGGTAAAAAAATGTCCACAATATATTCTTTTGTAAATTTTTCCGACACATTGAAAACACTAACAAATATTTACATCGACTCTCGTATCACCCACAAAAGTTATCATTGATGTTACTAAACGTCTAAGATAAAGCAATTTAAGCCAACGTTTGTACATACAAAAGATAAGTTTATTAATGTTAATTACTTAATTATTACAAATTATATATTAATTATATTTGCGAGGCGGGACTGTTAACTATTACATTAGTTTTAAATGGAATTATAAAGATATATTATTTGCTAACATTTGAAGGAAACTCATTTTTGTGTAAATTTCACGATTTTTTAATATTTCGTTTATTCTTTCTTCTCATTTTTCATATTTCCTTCTTCTTTTTCGCGGTGGTTCACCATTTAATGATTGTTCTAATATATCTATCAACGAACAAGCCGTTGTCGAATTATACTAACTCCTTTAACACTTAAGAAAAAGATTCAAGTCAATTAGACCAGTTTGAAAAATGTTATTGCGTTTTAAAAGGTGGTCGAATACTTTTTGTCAGGGTTTGTAATTGTTTGAAGGCAAATCACGTATAGCAAACGTATCAACAGTTTCTATTGCAGATAAGAAGCTTTCAAGGAAAAAAGAACAAGAGTGTAGGAGGTAATAAAAACCGATAAAAATGAGTGCAATGGAGATATGGAAATAGCCGGAACCATTTAAATTGCTTGGATTAATTGCAGTGTAAATTGAATACATCATGAGCACCCTGCACCGGTTAAATCCGTCCTACTGTCGATTAATTAAACCCTATTTCGTCTTTCAAATGCGCCGAACTACAGTATACTCTGGGAAATTAGCGTCACGCGATACAATCAAATGTTCGAGTCTATATCGCGGCGGCACGCAATATCGCCGCCTATGATGCTGTATACTTGCAGCTCGTAGCGGCTAAACCCTCTGAGTCGCGAGCTACCTACATACAGGTGTTTAATTCTCCGTTACGTGTCCACACTAACAACATAATACACGCTAGCGATTCGTCGAACGAGGCATTTACCAAGTTACGTTTGCGATCCGCGTAAACGTGCTAATTGTTTCGGCCAACTAATTGTGGACGTTCCTGTCATTTGACGGATTCATACCTGGCAACAACAGATCATCTCCATCGTCGCCTCACATAATAATTCCATATTACGATAAGCATCGCGCTTGTCACCGAACGCTGCTAATGCAAATTTAATACTGATTTGAAAACAATTATTTCATTTAATGGACGATTCTAACGATAAGTACTTGCAATAATTTATGTAAAATATTATCAGTATTCAAAATTTTACACTGTTTACTACTCCAAAGTTTTCTATGGTGCTATCTGTAACAATTCTACGGTTTGCCAACAAGGTTTAATGGCACGTAAAAGTACGATATGTTTATCACGTTTGTATTCTAGTGAAAACGTACATCGCTTTGAATAAAATAAAAACTCTTGACCAACGTTCCTTAAATAACAGCAGATTCACTTAACCACTTCAACGTTTCAGAACGCTAGTAACAGTTTAATACAACATCGTACGAACCATTTTACGGGACACAATAGCAATTTTCATCACTACATATTTCGCAATGCCAGTGACCATGAATGTAATTTTA